AGGTCCTGGCCCTTGATCCAGCCTCAGGCCAGTCCCAGCCACTTGCTGGGGAGTGAGTCAGCTGGTGGGGCAGGGAGCTTTCTCCCTCTGTTTCTCTTTCTCGCTGTCTAAAAAAAAAACAAACATATAAACATTTACAGGAAAATGGGTTTAATGTCAGTTTCTAACAATGACAGATATCCACTAGAAGAACAGAAACAAGAAAGCACCGTAAACTCAGAAATAAAGAGAGGTAAAACTGTCAGAGCCCCCCACGTACAGCTACAAGTCACAGCCGACAGCCCCAGAGCCCCCCACGCACAGCTGCCACCACTGGACCCCAGTGCATTAGACAGGAGATGGAGCTCCCTTGCCCAGCAGTCCACTCCAAACACTGTCAACACCTTTCTAGGCAACTCCAGGGTTCAAAAGATTCCAACAGCAACAGGGCAGCATGGGTGTACAGCCAGGTGGAGAGGACAGAGGCCCAGTCGCAGGCTTCGGAATGACAAAACGAAACCAAAGCAAGCAGACACAGGCGGGAGGCCAGTGACAGAAACACGCAGAGGGGAGGGCTGGGTGCGGGCAGAACCGAAGCAGGGCCTTCAGAGCAGTCCTGGAAAACACACGATGAAAAACGTTGTGCAGGGATTTCAACAACTTTTGCACCAAAAAAAACTAATTTTTAAAAAGATTTGGGGCCGGCGCTGTGCAGTAGTGGGTAAAGCTGTCGCCTGCAGTGCCGGCATCCCAGATGGGCATCAGTTTGACTCCTGGTTGCTCCACTTCCAGTCCAGCTCTCTGCTGTGGCCTGAGAAAGCAGTAAGCAGACGGCCCAAGTCCTCGGGCCCTGCACCCACGTGGGAAATCTGGAAGAGGCTCCTGGCTCCTGGCTTCACTGTGGCCCAGGTCTGGCTGTTGCGGCCATTTGGGGAGTGAACCAGTGGATAGAAGACTTTCTCTCTCTCTCTCTCTGCCTCTGCCTCTCTGTAATTCTCTGCCTTCCAAATAAATAAATCTTTATTAAAAAAAGATTTAGTTATTTATTTGAATGGCAGAGTGACGACGACAGAGAGCACATGTGTGAGTGCATTATCACTAAAAAGGTATCCTCCACCTGCTGGTTCACTCCCCACATGGCCCAGACCAGGCCAGGCCAAAGCCAGGAGCCAAGAACTCCATCTGGTCTTGCACATGGGTGGCAGGGGCCCAAATACTCGGAACATCATCTGCTACCATCAAAGGTGCATTAGCAAGGAGCTGCCGTTGGACTGGGAGTGGAGCAGCCAGGACTGGAATCGGCACCCTGATATGGGATGCTGGCATCCAAGCAGCAGCTTAACCCACTGTGCCACAACTGTGGCCCCAAGGTAATCGTTTAACACTGCTTTCTCGTGAACTTTCTGAAGGCACCCCGGACCAGTGAGAAACCTAAGGAAATGTGGCCAAGAGGGAAAGAAGGCACCACAAGCAATCTCAGGTCGGAGAAACCAGGAAACAGGTTACAATTCTAGGCCAGTCACCTCACGTTACCCAGCGTGTCTGGTGAGAAGTGGGCATCTCAGCCCCGCTCAGCCCACAGCCCGCTGCGGTGCCCTCCTGCTCCCACGAGGGAACGTGCTGTGCTAGAACAGACGCTACAAGGGCAACCACTCAGGTTCACACCGACTCTACCCAGGAACAGTCTCCCCAGACAATGTCGCCTTGCCCTGCTTCACACCCAGCTCCTCCGCTCTCCGGCTGCCTCTCCCGGGCCGTGTGAATACCATGCACGGAGGCAGCACACACTGGGCCCGAGCCCATGCCAGCAGGGCACGACACTGCCTTTCTCAGCCACAAACCCCATGTGTGCAGAGGCCTCTCCCGTGACCAGAACCCACCAAGGTCTGCTCCCGAGCCTGGGTCCCCTGTGCACAAGGTGCAGCCACCACCAGGGGCCCCCAAGGACACCCCTGGCTGGGGGGAGACGCGGACGCGGGGCGCTCATACTGACCACGGCTGGGGGGCGGCAGGCCGCTCAGGTAGGGCAGGCTCAGTCTCCGCAGCTCGTCCAGCTTCTCCCGCAGCTGGCGCACCTGGCTGTCGGAGCGGCTGACCCGCTGGCGCAGGCTCTTCAGCTCGCCGTTCTTCTTCTCCACCTGCTCGCGCAGGCAGCACACCTGGCTCTTGTTCTGGCGGGAGGAGAAGCAGTAGGAGTGCAGCGAGTCGATGAGCTTGCAGGCCCCCGACGCAGACAGGATGACCTCGTTGATGGACATGGGGCTGGCATCGCTGAGCTCGCCCTTCACGGCTTCTGCGGCTGGCTTTGGGGGGACGTCGGCGGGAGGAGAGGAGGGGCCCTGGGAAGGCTTCTGGGGCGTCGCCGTGAGCGACGAGCCTGGGGGGCTCTGGGCCATGCCCTTGTCGGGGCCCAGGCTGTTCCCACTGCAGCTCGGCTCCACCTCTCTCCTAGGCCTCTTGCGGTCGACGGGCTCCCGTGGGACGGACGGCCTCTCTCGAGTGTGCCTGGAGGAGAAACTGTAGGAATGCAGGGAGCCGATGAACTTGCAGGCCCCAGACCCCGGCGGGGAGAAGTCCTCCACGGAGATGCCGCTCTTGTCTGCCACGGCCCCGTCAGCGCAGGGAGGGTTCCCGTCACAGGCCTCGGAGGCAGGCCCTTCTCTCTCCCCCTGGCTGCCTCCCGCCACAGGGGCCAGTCCAGCTCCAGGAGTTCTTTGCAGAGACGGCGGGGTCTGCTCTTGCCCGGCAGCCTCCTCTGGGGCCCTGGCTGCGGCTTCGCCCTGCAGAGCAGCGCGCTTCAGCCTGCGCGCCTCGGGCTTGGCCATCAAGGTCTCACTGGAGGATGACGAGCCCGCGGCTCCTCTACTGGCCGCTGTGCTCCCGTGCCCGCTCACGCCCGCCTTGGCCTTGCTGGCCTCCTTCCTCCTGGTGCGGCCATGCCCTGCAGGCCCCCGCTTCTTCTCCGTCAGGTGGAAGATGGAGGGCACGGCTGTGGGCTTGAGCAGGCGGTGCTGGTCCTCCAGCCTTTTGGAGAAGCTGTCTTTGGTGAAGTGCTCACTGCAGAGGAACGAGTACTTGGTGGGGGTCCAGTTGTCCCTCTGAACGGCTTTTAACCACTGGATCAAGCGTTTCGAGTCCTTGAGAGGGAACCTGTGGGATAAAAGACAAAGCAATTGGAACAAATAACTACCAGTGTCTCCCTGTCCACTACAAAAGCAAAACGAGTGTTCCTGCAAACACCGAAGTGTTAAAGAAGACTTGAGCCAACAATGGAGGACACCTCGTACTTGAAAGTTATCGCTGGACAGAAACACAAAGACCCCACTGTGCACCTTCCACAGCGTCTGCCCCGAAGCACACACAGGCGTGGACGACATCCCACAGGACACGGGGCACCCGGGGGACAGCCAGCATTGTTTCTGCAAGTGCCTGCAAGGCAGGACTCCGGGCAGTGCGTCCATTGGCAGGTCGAGGTCTGTGTGGGAAGAGGCGGGCGCACAGGCCAGGAGGGCTGCCAGGTCCCCCGCAACGTGCGGCACACCGCCGGTGGCTCGCACAGCCATGGCGGCCCCAGAGTTAGGTGCGGGAGCTGTGGTTGTGTTCGGACCGAATTTCCACTTCAGAAGTAAAAGTCTCCTTTAGAAGTCGGCCAGCCCTGCCTGTGCAGGCGGGACAGCCACTCTGTGACCCCCCTGGCAGGAAAGCCTGGGGGTGCCAGGACCACCCACACAGACGGTGGCTGTCAGGGCCTCATGGTGCCTTTCAGCTTCCCAAGTTCAGAAAGATCCGGGAGACAGGCGCCAGCGATGGCACAACACGGGGAAAGCTCCGTGCACTTGGTGCACTATGGTAGAGAAAAATCACTCCTGAAAACCACTGAGGGAATAAAGATTCCTGGTAGCCACCTCTTTGTTAGAGCGCAGTCTGCATGCGCTACGTGCACCCGAGGGCGGGGGCCGACCTCTGACCGGGGCAGCCGGGACCACCGCCGGGCGGGAGCTCTGTGAGCTGCTTCCATGAACACGGCTGGGGAGTCTGCCCCAGCCCACGAAGCCCACCACGAAGGCCGCGCACCCTCTCCAGCTGTCAGCTGCCACCGACACGACCCGGGAGGGCACCTGCAGCGCTCCCACAGACGGTCCACCGCACAGGTGCTCCGCTGGGCGCCCGGCTGAGGGGCGCAGCGGGGAGGCCCCAGATCCCCGCCGGCACGGAGGGACCCCGGCACGAGGCTCTCCGGAGGGCCTGCCTTGGCACGCGTACGGAGACGAGTCGCCCACGGAAAGACCCTTCCCAGCACAAGCCACTTCTGGACACCCGCAGCGCACCGCGGGCCAGGGGGCGGCGGCGGGGTGCGAGGCGGCCGGCAGTGGCCGCCGAGTGGCCTCCCCGACTGCCCCGCGGCGCCCGGCCCAGAGACGGCGGCCCGGGCCAAGGTCACACAGCGTCCGCGCCCCCTGCCCGCGCCGCGCCGCCCGCGGGGCCCCGGGCGGCCGAGCCCTGCGCCCCCCCGGGGCCCCTCGCCCCAGGGCCGGCCTCGCGGCCTCAGTTTCCCCGCGGGGCCGAGCCGGGCCGGGCGGGGGCGTGGCGGCCGGGCCGCGTACCTGTGGAAGGAGACGGCGCGCTTCTCGCCCTTGCCCTGCCGGTTGGAGCAGTTCACGGCCGCGCAGCAGATCACCATCGCGGGCCTCGGCCGGCCGCGCCGCCAGGCCCCGGCCCTCGCCGCCCGCCCGCCGCCCGCGGACCGCCCGAGGGAGGGAGCGAGCGAGCGAGCGAGCGAGGGGCGCGGGCGGCGACGCGGCTCGGGGCGTGGGCGCGGCCGCCGTACGCCAAGATGGCGGCGCAGGGGCTCGGACAGACAGGCGCCCAGGCGTCTCGGGGCGGCGGACGCTTCTGGCCGTTAGAGCGTCAGCGAGAGGGCGGACGGATGGCGGTGGCCGAGGAGGCGGCGGCGGCGGCGGCGGCGGGTGGGGAGCGAGCCGGCGGGGCGGGACGTGCGGCGACATAGCGCGCGGACCGTCCGTAAAGCAAGATGGCCGCGCCGGCTTGACCACGCGTGCTCCTCCCGCCTCAGCGGGCCGCTCCGGACCTTCCGAGGGAGAGAGCGCGGTGCGTGGCGCGAAGGGTCCCGCCGGGCAGCAGGGTAAACCGCCGGCCGCACCCTCCGCGCGCGGCCTTGGGGCTCGCGGCAGCCACCGTACGCCAAGATGGCGGCCCCCGCGCTTCCGCCCGCGCTTCCGCCCGCTTGCGATTGGCCCTCGCGCCGCCCCGTCGTCGCGTCGCGCTGCGAGCCCGTCGGGCTCCGCGCGGGTCAGTCGGCGGCCGGACCGGGAAGATGGACGCAGGTAAGGGGCGCGGGCCCGGGGCCTCCCCGTAAGGCGAACCGGCTTCTCTCTGCCTCCTGTTCGGCCCCGCCCGCCGCGATCCGCTGGGCGCACGCCGCGGCGGCCTGGGCTGGGCAAGGTGTGGGCAGCGTCCGCGGACCGGGGGCGCGCGGGGACGACGCCGCGCCGCGCCCCCGACCGCCTGTCCCTGTCACGTCGGAGCCGCCGGCGCTCTGCGGTCCCGCTGGGGCGCGGACTTTGCGGCCCGAAGTCGAAGGCCTGGGGGCGGGCGCTCCGGGCGGCACGGCTGGGCCTTCGCGCCGAGACTGCAAAGTGACCGGCAGGCCGGAGGCCGGGAGCTCCTCTGGGTGCCTGTCCAGCTCGCCGGGTTGTGTGTTGTGCGGGTGCGTGCGGCGGGGTCCGAGCTTGCTGGCGGCGCGAGGCCGCGTTTGCCGCGTTTCCCTCGGGAGGGGACGATGCCTTCGCCGTTGCTGGCGACGCGTCTCGGAGCTCTCGGCCGGCCCCGCACCGTTTGCAGGCTTCCGCACTGACAGCAGCTTCTTTGCGTCCTAGGATCCCTGCAGGCGCGGAAGGCCCGGGCGGCTGTCCCTGCCCGAACGCGCTGCCGCGACGGTGGCCGGGGAAGGTCCCGGCGCGGCGCGCGGCTGACGCGGGTCGGGGTGGGGGGAGCCCCGCTTCCCGGCGAGTCGTGGCCCGCGCGTCCTCCCTGTGCGGTTTGCGTGTGGACAGTGAGCGTCCGACGTGGTCGCCCCGCAGGTCGGAGCTGAGCGCGGGGAGGAACGGGGCCCCCCTTTGGGACGTCCTCACGTGCGCGGGGGTGACACTGCCGCTTGCAGGAACAGAGGAGGTGTTAGCGTGCGGCGCGCGGAGGCCTCCGGCAGTGCCCGTGTGGCGGCCGAGCTTCCCCGGAAACCGCATCCATTACTAGGGCACGGCCCCAGACCCTCTGACTTAGAGGAGTGAGGGGATGGAAGACCCTGGTTCTGGCGCAGCTGACGTCCTGGACGGGAGGCCTGGTTAGCAGCAGCTGGTGGGGGACACGTGCCCCGAGGTTGTGTTCCGGCTGGGACCCGCGGCTGTGCAGGACGTGCAGGGGGGCCGAGGGCGAGTGAGACAGGCCCTCGTGAGGACATGGGCGTTCGCTCGGAGCAGGATGGCGACCCCTGGGGAGGTTTGTGCAGGGAGCCCGATCAGCCGACTCGCTCCGGTGTGTGCTGAGCCGACTGCGGAGGCCGGGACAGGGGCAAGGAGACCGTGGGGAGGCAAGGGGGTGGCGCAGGTCTAGGTCGGCGTGAATTCTGGACAGGCTCTGAAGCTTGGGCCCCAGGGGTGGATGTGGGAGGCAAGGGAGGGGTTAAGCGTGGCGCCAAGAGGCCGGTGAGGCCTCCTGGGCGGGCAGCCCTCTGAGTTGGGTGTTGTGCCGCGATGCCCAGGGACCAAATGGAGCTGAGGGAAACTGCCTGGGCTGGAGATGGGTGGGAGGTCGCAGGGGCTGGGACTGGTTAGGAGAAGCAGGTGGACCCTGGTTAGCTTTTGCTCTCCCCACTGCTCCTGGCTGCAGGAACTGGCAGGGCCAGCACCGCAGCGGCCACTCTGCCCATTCCTTGAGGACAAGCTCTGTCTCATGTCTGGCTGGAGGTTGGCAGTCAAGGGACCACCACTTGAGTCAGCAACTCACGCAGACACCTGCTGCGAGGATTTGCAGGCTGGGCCTTCGGCACAGGGGTTAAGACACCGCTTCCGACACCCGCATCCCACACCAGAGCACTGGGTTCGCGTCCAGACTCCACTTCCACTCCAGCTCCCTGCTAGGCACGTCCTGGGAGGCAGCCCTCCACTCCTGTGCGAGAGCTCGCTGGAGCTCCGTACGCAGGGCTTCAGCCTGGCCCGGCCCTGTGTTGTGGGCAGCTGAGAAGCGAACCAGCAGGTGGAAGACTCGTCTTTCTCTTGTCTCTCTCTCTCTGCCTTTCAAAGAAAAATCAAGAATTTCAGGGGCTGGCACTGTGGCACAGCAGGTAAAGCTGCCATCTGCAGTGCCAGCATCCCATATGGGTGCCAGTTTGAGACCTGGCTGCTCCACTTTTGATGCAGCTCTCTGCTGATGGCCTGAGAAAGCAGTAGAAGATGGCCCAAGTCCTTGGGCCCCTGCACCTGCATGGGAGACCTGGGAGAAGCGCCTGGCTCCTGGTTTCAGATCGGACCAGCTTCAGCCATTGTGGCCATTTAGGGAGTGAACCAGCAGATGGAAGACCTCTCTCTCTCTCTCTCTCTCTCTCTCTCTCTCTCTACGTCTCTGTAACTCCACTTTCCAAGTAAATAAATAAATAAATCTTTAAAAAAAAAATTTCAGTTCGTAGAGTTTGTGTGTGAGGTAAAGGGTGTACACTGCGATGCCTAAGAAGGAGCACTGGTTTTAGGGTGGACATCCTGTGAGCAGTGGTTTTAGGGTGGACGTCCTGTGTGTGGTGCTTGCTGGGGCCGTGTCCCCTGTGCGTCTGATGGAGCTGGGACCTGGGCTGCTTGCTTTGTCTCTCGTCTTCCTCCCTTTCTTTCTGAGCTGAGCCGTTGAGCCAGTGTCTTCATATATACTCTTTGGGAATAGAAGAAATAACCATATTCATGTTGTTACCGTAAACATGAGAGCTTTCTACGGGAAAAGGAGAGGCTTTCTGTTGAGTTTATTTATCAAGTTTAATCTTTCAGAATATGTAGGTGTTCAGGGAAGTATTTTCAAGATGAGATACTTTACAGTCAGCTCTAAGAGAGATTTGCTGCTTATGGTTTTTGTGTTTCTTCCTGGTTAATTAGTGTAATTGGAGCTAAGTGGAGAGAGCCTGGTAAAACTCAGCCTGAGCTTTTTTCTGCCTGCTGCATTAACAGTATTTAGTCATATCTTCTTTTCAAAATAAAATCATCCCCTGGAGACTGGCACTCATTTTGAGGCACAGCTCGCTCGCTTGCTTGCTTGCTTTCTCTCTTCCTTTTTTTCTTAAAGATTTATTTACTTATTTGAAAGGCATAGTGACAGTTTCCATCTGTTGGTCACTCCCCAGATGGCCACGATGGCCAGGGCTGGGCCAGTCTGACGCCAGGAGCTCCACCCAGGTCTCCTATGGAGGTGGGAGGGGTGTGGGTGGCAGGGGCCCAAGCACTTGGCCATCTTTCACCGCTTTTCCCAGGCCATTGGATCCGAAGTGGAGCAGCTGGGACGTGAACGGGCACTCATGTGGGAAGCTGGCATCGCAGATAGAAGCTTTACCTGCTACGCCACAACCCTGGCCCTGAGGCACACTTCTTATCCCAGCAGCTCTGTGGACCACTTCGTAAATGGCCTGCTGTGGTGCGTGAGGGTGCTGAGGTCACGGCGCAAGGGTACTGAGGTCGCATTTGAGGGTGCTGAGGTCACAGGTGAGGGTGCTGAGGTCACGGTGCAAGGGTGCTGAGGTCACATTTGAGGGTGTTGAGGTCACATTTGAGGGTGTTGAGGTCACTGAGGGTGCTGAGGTCATGGTGCAAGGGTGCTGAGGTCACATTTGAGGGTGCTGAGGTCACATTTGAGGGTGTTGAGGTCACATGTGCGGGTGCTGAGGTCATAGGTGAGGGTGCTGAGGTCACGGGTGAGGGTGCTGAGGTCACATGTGAGGTGCTGAGGTCACATGTGAGGTGCTGAGGTCACACGTGCAGGTGCTGAGGTCACGGGTGAGGGTGCTGAGGTCACGGGTGAGGGTGCTGAGGTCACATGTGAGGTGCGAGGTCACTGAGGGTGCTGAGGTCACATGTGAGGTGCGAGGTCACTGAGGGTGCTGAGGTCACGGCGCAAGGGTGCTGAGGTCACATTTGAGGGTGTTGAGGTCACTGAGGGTGCTGAGGTCATGGTGCAAGGGTGCTGAGGTCACAGGTGAGGGTGCTGAGGTCACATGTGAGGTGCTGAGGTCACACGTGCAGGTGCTGAGGTCACGGGTGAGGGTGCTGAGGTCACGGGTGAGGGTGCTGAGGTCACATGTGAGGTGCGAGGTCACTGAGGGTGCTGAGGTCACATGTGAGGTGCGAGGTCACTGAGGGTGCTGAGGTCACGGCGCAAGGGTGCTGAGATCACATGTGAGGTGCGAGGTCACATTTGAGGGTGTTGAGGTCACACGTGCGGGTGCTGAGGTCACATGTGAGGGTGCTGAGGTCACATGTGAGGTGCGAGGTCATGTGTGAAGGTGCTGAGATCACAGCGCGAGAGTGCTGAGGTCATGGTGTGAGGGTGCTGAGGTCACACGTGAGGGTGCTGAGGTCACACGTGCGGGTTGCTGAGGTCACACGTGAGGGTGCTGAGGTCCATGTGAGGGTGCTGAAGTCATGGCGTGAGGGTGCTGAGGTCACAGCTTGAGGGTGCTGAGGTCACGGGTGAGGGTGCTGAGGTCACGTGGGGGTGCTGAGGTCACACATGCGGGTGCTGAGGTCACAGCTTGAGGGTGCTGAGGTCACACGTGCGGGTGCTGAGGTCATAGCGCAAGGGTGCTGAAGTCACACATGCAAGTGCTGAGGTCACAGGTGAGGGTGCTAAGGTCACGTGGGGGTGCTGAGGTTGCCGTGTGAGGGTTCTGAGGTCCATGTGAGGTGCTGGGGTCACGGCGTGAGGGTGCTGGGCTGAGTCACAGCCAGGGTTGTGAGAAAGGCAAGCCCTTCCATGGAGAATGCCCGAGTGGGGCTCACCTGTGAGTGGCTGGCAAACCTGGCGAGTGGAGTTGGTGACGGCCAGCCCGTGCAGTTGTCAGTGACTGAGCTTTCCACGCGGGATTTGTTCTTTTCCTGGGCCCTTATGCCGCTGGCAGAGCTGGCCACCTTGCCCATCTGTGGGCCTGGTGAGGTTCAGATGTGTGTCACTCAGTGCACACGTGGGCTGTCATTCTCCACAGACGTCAGAAGGGAGTGGTCGGGAGCCCAGGATCTGTGCATGGTGCTGCAGTGGCGGCTGGGAGGGTGTGCAGGTGAGGCGGGGTCCGCTGGGGGCTGCCATCACACGGTGCAGAACCTCTTATTGCGAGCGTAGTAACGACACCAAGGCTGTGTTGGTTCCAATAAGGGCTTCATTATGCATTCTAATTCACACAGCACACCAGGCAAACCGACCACCCTGGGTTCCCAGAGTACCTCCGGTGCTCCTCACTTGTCTTAGCCCCGGAGGGTGGCTTCTCACAGCATTCACACGGGTGGTAGCTCTGGGCTGGTGAATGTAGGTCTTGAAGGGCGAGCAGGGCCTTGGCGTTGGGCAGGGACAGGGCCCCATCATCGGGCGAGCTCAGGGCCCTGTCGTCGTGGGGCCTTGGTGTCAGGCCCCGGCGTCGGGCAGGTACAGAGTGGGCTGGGAGAACTGTCTCGCGGGAAGGTCAACCTGGAGCTCTCCCTCTGCCGCTCAGGAGAGGCTGTTCAGGGAGTCTCTGCGGGCCTCTTCAGCCTGCAGTTTATGTGCACTTTTGGGGGTCAGTGTGGGGCTGGTAAGGCCTCAGGAGGGTGTGTGCGGGCCATGGGTGGTTCCTATCAAGTCCGTGCAGATCTCCTGCAGGCAGCGTAGCTCTTGCTTATTTCTTGTTGATAGTGTAGTGGAGCTGTTTGGCTCCTGCTCCTCACACCACTGCAGTTCGACGAGGACTCAGATGTGAGGGCCTTCCTGTGCTCCCTGGGGTCCACCATGCCTGTCCTGCAGCCTGCGTGCGGAGGGCCCCGGGAGCCAGCCACGAAGGCTTCTGCATTCAGTTCTGGTAAAGAAATTCACATATTTTGTTCAGTTTATATTGTGCTTGGGACTGCAGCCAGTCTGGGGACAGAATTGGATGCTGTGTGTGTGCCTGTCTCAGCGTCAGGGACTGGAGAAGGCGCTCCTGTTTCCCCCTTACCCAGTCCTGTGAGGGGGGCAGAGTGTGACAGAGCTGAGGCACAGAGAGGTTCCCAGCCGGCTGGTAGTGGCTCAGACCTCTGACTGCTTGCTGTGGGGCTTGTGCCGGCCAGTGTGACACACGGATGCCCCCCTTGTGGTGTCATCCAGGTGTCTAGAAAAGGGGACACTGTGGTGTGGCTCACATCCTGCACAGGGGAGGTTCTGGGAGGGGCCTGGGCGCATCCCAGCCGGGAAGAGCACGGAAGCTGGGCTGCGGGCAGGGAGCGTGGCAGCCTCCCCAGGGACTCGTGGTCATCTTGCCCCACTGGTCTGCTTGCTGGCTGCCAGCTCATGAGGCCACCCAGCCCATAATTGTCGTGGTTGCAGCAGGAGTGTTGGTGTTGTTCCCTCTGAAGTCGGCTTCCTTGCCTGTAAAGTGTGCTGATAAACCAGGAAGTAGGCCTGGCTGTCACCCTCTTTCCAGAGTGCGCCTTCTTCCATCTCTGCTTCATCTGCTTGGCCCCTTCCTTTGTTGTTTATGTGTGTGTGTGTGTGTGTGTATATATATATTTTTTTTTTCTTTTTGACAGGCAGAGTTAGACAGTGAGAGAGAGACAGAGAGAAAGGCCTTCCTTTTCCGTTGGTTCACCCCCAAAGTGCCCGCAGCGGCCGGGGCGCCGCACTGATTCGAAGCCAGGAGCCAGGTGCTTCCTCCTGGTCTCCCATGCGGGTGCAGGGCCCAAGCACTTGGGCCATCCTCCACTGCACTCCCACACCACAGCAGAGAGCTGGACTGGAAGAGGAGCATCCGGCACCCCAACTGGGACTAGAACCCGGTGTGCCGGCGCCGCATGCGGAGGATTAGCCAAGTGAGCCGCGGCGCCGGCCCTGTTATTTATATTTTCAGTACTGGAGGCTGGATACCATGGAAGCTCAGTCCCCCTCCTCCAGTTCCAGTGCACCACCGATGCATCCTGGAATGCTCTGCAGAGAGGCTTATCCCATGCGCTCGTCAACTCTCCAGGATTTAATAGATATTGCATTTTTAGCTCAAAGCTGGGTCTTTGGGGGTATCTCAGATCTCAATAGAAGGTTCCAGTGCCAACAGGATTAAAGTGCCTGCCCTGCAGTCTTTGAGTTGGAGTAGGATGGGGGTGTTTGCAGCTCCTGCCCTGAGAACTTTCTGGTCTGAGTGTACGCGTTGAACACAGCCTAGAGGTTGAAGTCTCTGGAGAGGTGGATGTTTGCAGCTTCTAGAGGGAGGCCTGAGCGTGAGCCCATTGCAGGTCAGTTCACTGGGGGACAGGAAGCTTACGTGAGATCAGCGTGGCTGACATGGTCCTTGAAAGCCTGGACAGGGAAGGGCAGCGCTGCTGGTGTGGTCCCTGCTGTCCCCCAGTACTGCCCTCACACCTCTCAGGAAGCCGAGCACTGTGCTTGTGGATTCGCTAGTTCTTCTCGTGCTGCTGGGCGTGGTGAGGCTTGTGTGTCTGTGACTCCATGACGCCAGCTGAGTCCGGAGCCCCACATGTGTGTGGGAGGCCTCACAGCCACACACAAGGCTGCCCTGTTATTAGCCCAGCTTATGGATGTGGGATGGGCTGTGGTTAGACGTGAATTAAGTGGCCTAGGAACCTACAGTGAGTGCCTGAGCTGGGATATGAATCCTGATGGCCCCTGCCCGTTTTTCCCTGAAGGATTGTGCATGGCATAGAAACATAGCAGAGACGCGGATGCCGGCAGTCCATGGTAGTAAACGCTGGTGGCAGGGATGCTGGTGCCGGCAGTCTGTGACAGTGAACACGCATGTGGCTGGGAAATTTGTACCGACAGTCCATAGCAGTGAACACACACGTGGCAGGCATGCTCATGCCGGCATTCTGTGACAGTGAGCATGGTGTGTGATGGGGACGCTGGTGCCGGCAGTCCATCACAGTGAACACGCATGTGGCAGGGACACATGCCGGCAGTCTGTGACAGTGAACACGTGTGTGGTGGGGACACTTGCGCCGGTAGTGTGACAGTGAACTCATGTGTGGCGGGGACACTCGTGCTGGCAGTCTGTGACAGGGAACATGTGTGTGGTGGGGACGCTGGTGCCGGCAGTCTGACTGAACACGCATGTGGCAGGGACACTCATGCCAGCAGTCTACGACAGTGAACACGTGTGTGGCAGGGACACTTGTGCTGGCAGCGACAGTGAACATGGATGTGGTGGGGACACTCATGCTGGCAGTCCGTGACAGTGAACACATGTGTGGCAGAGACACTTGTGCTGGTAGTATGAGAGTAAACACGTGTGTGGCGGGGACACTTGTGCTGGCAGTATGATAGTGAACACATGCATGGCGGGGACACTTGTGCCAGCAGTGGGACAGTGAACACGTGTTGGCAGAGACACTCATTGGCAGTGAGACAGTGAACACACGTGGCAGGCATGTTTGTGCCACGGTCTGTGACGTCGAGCACGAGTGGGCTTATGCCAGCAGTCCGTGACAGGGTGCACCTGTTGCTGATAGCACCCATGTGTGTTGGTAGGATACATATGCAGTGATGATCTCATTGTCAGAAAGGTGAAGACGGGGCCCATGTTGGCACAGTGGGCTTAGCTGCTGTCTGTGATGCTGGCATCCCGCATCAGAGCCAGCTGCTCGTTGCTGATCCAGTTTCTGCTGACGCTCCTGGGAGGCAGTGGGTGATGGGCCCCTGCCACCCTGTGGGAGGCCTGGATGGAGCTCCTGGCTCCTGGCTTCAGCCTGGCCCAGCCCTGACTTTCGCCAACCACTTGGGGAGCAGACCAGCATTTGACAGGTTTCTTTGTTGCTCCCTCACTCTGTCACTCTGCCTTTCAAATAAATAAAATCTTCATTTTATTTTATGTTTTCTTAGAAAAACAAGGTAGAGATGAGGAAACCGCAGATGTGGTCTCGTCTGCAGTGGGTCTGAGGGTAAGGACTTCAGGAGGTGTTGGCAGGGGAGGGGACTTCAGGTGACTTCGTGCTTTCGTGGTGTTAGTGTTTGCCATTGTCACTGAGAGGCGGGGCTGCTCTCCCAAGCTGAGTCCGGCTAGGCGTCTGGTGCCGCGGTGACTTGGGACGTGGCATCGGTATCGGAGTGCTTGCTCTGAGTCTTTCTCCTCCATCTTCCTGCTAATGCTCACCCTCAGGGCACCAGGTGATGGCTCCAGTACTTGGGTTCCTTTACCCATGTGGGAGACCTGGGTTCAGTTCTGGTTTCCTGGCTTCAGTCTGGCCTAGCCCTGCTGTTCCATGCATTAGAGATTTATTTATTTATTTGAAAGGCAGAGTTACAGAGAGAGAGGCAGAGAGAGAGAGGTCTTCCATCTGCTGGTTCACTTCCCAAATGACTGCAATGGCTGGAGCTGAGCTGAACCGAAGCCAGGAGCCAGGAGCCTCTTCTGGGTCTCCCACACAGGCGCAGGGGCCCAAGGACTTGGGGCATCTTCCACTGCTTTCCCAGGCCATTAGCAGGGAGCTGGATCGAAAGTGGAGCAGCCAGGTCTTGAACTGGCACCCATATGGGATGCCGGTACGGTAGGCGGCAGCTTTACCCCCTACACCACAGCATCAGCCCCTCAATTTTTTTTTTTTTTTTTTTTTTTTTTTTTTTTTTTTTTTTTGACTGGCAGAGTGGACAGTGAGAGACAGAGAGAAAGGTCTTCCTTTTTTTTTTTTTTTTTTTTTACCTTGGTTCACCCTCCAATGGCCGCTGCGGCCAGCGCACCGCGTTGATCCAAAGCCGGGAGCCAGATGCTTCTCTTGGTCTCCCATGCAGGTGCAGGGCCCAAGCACTTGGGCCATCCTCCACTGCCCTCCCGGGCCACAGCAGAGAGCTGGACTGGAAGAGGAGCAACCGGGACAGAATCCAGCACCCCAACCGAGACTAGAACCCAGTGTGCCGGTGTTGCAGGCGGAGGATTAGCCTAGTGAGCCGCGGCGCTGGCTCAAATAATTTTTTTTTTTAAGATTTATTTTTATTTATTTGAAAGATGGAGCTACAGAGAGAGGTAGAGACGGACAGAGAGGTCTTCCATCCGCTGGTTCACTTCCCAGATGGCCACAACAGCCGGAGTTGACTGATCAAGAGCCAGGAGCCAGGAGCTTCTTCCAGGTCTCCCATGCGGGTGCAGGGGCCAGAGCACTTGGGCCATCTTCTACTGCTTTCCTGGGCCACAGCAGAGAGCTGGATCAGAAGAGGAACAGCCGGGACTAGAACTGGCGTCCAAATGGGATGCCAGCGCTTCAGGCCAGGGCTTTAACCTGGTGTGCCACAGTGCCAGCCCCTCAAGTAAATTTTTAAAAAAGAAAAAAAAAAAACACTGAGGTTACCGCAATAACCTTAAAAAAAAAAACACACACACACACAACAACAACAACCCTGATGCCAACTCAGAGTGAGCTGTGTGCATCTCGGCCCTGCCTCCTGCCAGAAGCTTTTGTTGGGAAACGGTGTAGAACACAGGCTTCCTCAGGCACAGTTCTGTGCACAGGAGGGTGTTGGGCCTCTGGATCCCTTCTTGCAGCAGACAGAACCAGCCCAAAGGCCTTGTCAGCACAGCTCGTGGATACTATGGCTCCTGACCAGCCAACCTGGGAACGGGGTGTGGCCACATGTCCCCCTCCAGGAGTGGCGTCACCCTGCACACAGGTTCCAGGCATGATATCTTGGCATCAGGCACATTGGAGGACTTTGCAGGGGGCTTCATGTCTGGGGTCACTCCCCATTCAGGAGTCGCACGCGCCCACCCCCTGCAGCTCACTGTGCTATCCAAGGAGGGGACCAGGAGCCTAGTACTTGTGCCCCTGAAGAGGCTGCCCCCAGTACAGCACGTGCCGCTGGCTGAGCTGAGGTGTCCGGGATGGCTGACTCCACGCTCTGGTTTTCCTGTGGCCGCCCTGGCCCACGAAGACCAAAGGTGTGGTTTCATGTCACTCTGTCCTCTAGGCTTTAAACATTTTAAGTCTAAAACAATTGTTTGGGTCAGTTTTCTTTTTTTGTTTTTAAATGTACATTCTACTCAGGCTGGCCCCAGCTGATTTCCTCAGCCTCACATTCGCTGCTGGCTCCTGCACGTGTCGTTGTCCTGACGGCGGTGGCTGTGGTAGCACCGGACACACGGCGTGACACGTGTAGGGGTGGTGTTGTGCAGCTGGATAAGCCACCACCTCTGACGCCAGTGTCACCTGTGGAGGGCCGGTTCAAGTCCTGGCTGCTGCCCTGCCGATGAGCCTGGGCTCTTGGCTTTGTCCTGGCCCAGCCCCAAGCATCACAGCCGGCAGAAGGGAGAGCTCTTTCTGTCTCCCCCCTCTTTTTCATTCTGCCTTTCAAGTAGTGAAGAAAAAGGAATTGACGAGCGTTTTTATTTTGGTATAGAAATGCTATCAAGGGCCTCTTTGCTATATCTTATGAAATCCCAGAAGCCTGATAGATGTGTGTTTCTGCTCTCAACAGCCACTCTGACCTACGACACTCTCCGGTTTGCCGAGTTTGAGGATTTCCCCGAGACCTCGGAGCCCGTGTGGATACTGGGTAGAAAGTACAGCCTTCTCACAGGTATGAGTCGTGCCGCAGGCAGGGGCTGTGATCCTGATGGTTGCGACTGACCTGTGTGATGTGGCCTGCAGACTCATGGCTCCCCTGTGTGTTCTTCTCTTAAATAACCTCTAGAAAAGAACGAGATCTTGTCCGATGTGGCGTCTAGACTCTGGTTCACATACAGGAAGAACTTCCCAGCCATTGGTGAGTGCCCCGTTTGTGCTGCGACGTTCTAAGGAGGAGAAAGCTTACTCGTGCTCTGGGCCAGTGCTTTGCACAGCCCTTAGGCAACCCTGGAGATGTGAGGCAGCTGAGGACCCAGGGATGGCAGGTCTGACGTGTCAGTGCAGGCTTCTGACGCCACTCAGGTCACCACTTGTCCTGAGTGTCGAAGTCACGTCAGGGCACAACCAGCGGTTTATTTTATTTTTACAGATGGATGTATTTATTTATTTGAAAGGTAGAGCCACAGAGAGAGAGAGGGAGATCTTCCATCTGCTGGTTCATTCCCTAAATGGCCACAGCAGCTAGGTCTGGGCCAGGAACTGTATCCTGGTATCCCACACATGTGGCAGGGGTCTGAGTGCTCAGAGTTGTCTTCCTCTGTCTTTTCAGGCGTGTTAGCAGGGAACTGGGTCAGAATTGGAGCAGCCGGGCTCGACACAGCACTCTGATATGGGATGCTGGTGTTGCAAGTGGCAGCTTAGCCTACCACAACTCTGGCCCTCCAGCCAGCTTTTAAAGAACGCAGGACAGAACAGATTGTGACGGCGCATTAGCCGTAGAAAGATAGCATGTTGCTGCAGGAGACTGAGTTCCGGTTTGTGGATCTGAGTGAGTGTGCTGGGTCCTGTCCCCGCTGTGTCTCTCACTCCAGGTCCAGAATGTGTGGAAGCCATTGCTCTGTGTGCTTCACCTTTCTGGTGCATTCCATGTTTAGCAGTGGGAGATTTGAGAGGTAAAGTGGATGTGATGTGTTTTTATGTCCCACAAAAGCACGTTCCATTCAGAGCGAGTGCCTCCTTCTGTGCCCTGAAGTGGATGCAGGGTGTGGACTGTGCTCGGACAGTTGAGAACAGAGGTTAGGGACGAGGCTGATGTTGCACTGGTGGCCAGGTTGTGGTGCCCCTGAAGAGGCACCATTCTTATGAACGTGGTGCCGTTCTGAACGGGGCTTCATGCGTTCTTTGGGTGCAAGGGGGAAGTGATGCACACACCAGATGCAGCACAGGCAGGTGCGCACTCCCACACGTGACACTCGGTGCGGTGACTTGTCACAGTCGCTCTGGGAATTCCACAGATCCTTCCTGCACATCTGCTTGGTGCCTGCCCTCTGTTCGGTCCTGGTCCTCAAGGACTGTGCCAGGCACTGGGCAGGAGACCGGTGCTGGAGAGCAGCCTTCCTCTTGTCAGTGTCGTGCAGGGATGGGCCAGGGATGGGCCGCGGGAGCGCTGCTGCCCGGCTGCCCGTTGTGCCCCAGGAGGCTGCGCTGTCCCCCAGTGTGTATGGGAGAAGCTGCTGGAGGCGGGGAGGTGGGTGAAGGGTAGGCCTGGACTGCAGCCCTCATGGTCTGACCCTGAGTCCCTGCTCCCCAACCTTGGTGTGGCGCTGCCGCCTGCCTCCCCCACCACGTGGTGCCCTTTGTCATCCTTCTCTGTGACAGGCCTGTGGTGGCATCCCTGGAGCTCCTGCTGGCAGCCTCCATGCTGTCTCCCAAACACCTTGTCACACAGTGCACGTGAAGAGCCTGAGGTGTCAGCCCAGCACTGAGACGCCACACCTCTGCTGCACGTGCCACCTCGCCTGTGTTTGAGAGGGCTGTCAGGACAGGTCACCCTGGGCAGCGTGTGGCCACAGGCAGAGCGGATGGGTGAGGGTGTCCTTGCCTGTGCTGTGCAGCCACTCTGACCACGAGTCCTCCTCCTTGTCCACAACAGGGGGAACTGGCCCCACTTCAGACACGGGCTGGGGCTGCATGCTGCGGTGTGGCCAGATGATCTTCGCCCAAGCCCTGGTGTGTCGGCACTTAGGCCGAGGTGAGTGTGGCCGGAGTGGGGAGCTCACAGCCATGTTAGGAGCAGAGAGGACTATGGGGAAAGGGGATTTTAAAAAAGAGCCCAGAGGGCCGGCGCCGTGGCTCAACAGGCTAATCCTCCACCTTGCGGCGCCGGCACACCGGGTTCTAGTCCCGGTCAGGGCACTGGATTCTGTCCCGGTTGCCCCTCTTCCAGGCCAGCTCTCTGCTATGGCCCGGGAGTGCAGTGGAGGATGGCCCAAGTGCTTGGGCCCTGCACCCCATGGGAGACCAGGAGAAGCACCTGGCTCCTGCCTTCAGATCAGCGCCGGCCGTGGCGGCCATTGGAGGGTGAACCAATGGCAAAGGAAGACCTTTCTCTCTGTCTCTCTCTCTCACTGTCCACTCTGCCTGTCAAATAAATAAATAAATAAGAGTCCAGGTAAAGCACAAGCTAGCATTTGGGGTTTTCTGGAGTGATCATGCACTGGGTTGATTGCTGACTTTACTAGATGCAATTATGTTAGCGTACAGTTTGGAGGTTCACAGTGCCACACGGGGTGGCCTTGTCACTGGTGCAGGGACAGTTGCATGGTGTCCTCATGAGTGTGGCCTGCTGAGGCTGCCTCAGTTTCTTAAACCCCAGGTGCCTCCAGAGCCGTTCATGTGTCAAGTCTCCACCCTCGATCCATCCGCCGTTAACCTAAGACTCCGGGGTGTCAGCATTGGCGTGCGTGTGCAGAGCTGGCGTCTGCGGGGTCTGGATGCCACCTGCGTCTCTGTGTTTCTCCTGTTGGTGGTGAAGCTGACCTGTGTCTGTGTCTGTTAGATTGGCGGTGGACACAGCAGAAGAGGCAACCAGACAGCTACTTGAGTGTCCTGCATGCCTTCATGGACAGGAAGGACAGCTACTACTCCATTCATCAGATAGGTCTGGGAGGGTGTCCCGAGCTCCACAGAGAGCTCTTCTGGGCTCAAGTATGGGCGGGGGCTGTGAGATGCATGGGCTCAAGTGTGTGGGGGGGGGCTGTGAGATGCATGGGCTCGAGTGTGTGTGGGGGTTATGAGATGCATGGGCTCGAGTGGGGGCAGGGCTGTGAGATGCATGGGCTGGAGTGGGGGCAAGGCTGTGAGATGCATGGGCTGGAGTGGGGGCAAGGCTGTGAGATGCATGGGCTCGAGTGGGGGCGGGGGCTGTGAGATGCATGGGCTCGAGTGGGGGTGGGGGGCTGTGAGATGCATGGGCTGGAGTGGGGGCAGGGCTGTGAGATGCATGGGCTCGAGTGGGGGCGGGGGCTGTGAGATGCATGGGCTCGAGTGGGGGTGGGGGGCTGTGAGATGCATGGGCTGGAGTGGGGGCGGGGGCTGTGAGATGCATGGGCTGGAGTGGGGGCGGGGGCTGTGAGATGCATGGGCTCGAGTGGGGCCGGGGGCTGTGAGATGCATGGGCTGGAGTGGGGGCGGGGGCTGTGAGATGCATGGGCTGGAGTGGGGGCGGGGGCTGTGAGATGCATGGGCTGGAGTGGGGGTGGGGGCTGTGAGATGCATGGGCTCGAGTGAGGGTGGGGGCTGTGCGATGCATGGGCTTGAGTGGGGGGCAGGGGGGCTGTGAGATGCATGGGCTGGAGTGGGGGCGGGGACTGTGAGATGCATGGGCTGAGTGGGGGGCAGGGGGGCTGTGAGATGCATGGGCTGGAGTGGGGGCAGGGACTGTGAGATGCATGGGCTGAGTGGGGGCCGGGGCTTGAGATGCATGGGCTGAGTGGGGAGTAGGGGCTGTGAGATGCATGGGCTCGAGTGGGGGCGGGGGCTGTGAGATGCAGCAGGAGATCAGATCCCAGGCCTTGCCCTGGCCCTGTGCCCTTACGGCCTGCAGTGGCTGCTGTCCATTGCAGAGCCTGTGAGAACTGGACTCCACCTCAGAGGTTCTTGTTCCTGTGTGCCTTGTCTGAACGTGGGTGCTCAGGTGGCCTTTGTCATACAGGCCCAGCTCTGAGCTGTCTGTGCTCAGCTAGGGAAGGGGTTAACAGTACAGGCCTGAGAGAGAAACAGAGGGTGCTTCCTCAGTGAAGAGCAGACCTGAGAAGCTTCGACCTTTCCTGCCTCCCTCCTGGAGGGAGCGTCCTGGCATCTCCTGGAGGGTGGGCTGGCCTGTCCAGGCCTCCTGCAAAGTGTTTGCCGAGGGCACAGGGCACGGGATGGTGGTCAGGATGGGAGGGAGGGTGTGCCGCTCACCTGGATCTGTCTTCCGCAGCACAAATGGGCGTCGGCGAGGGCAAGTCAGTAGGCCAGTGGTATGGGCCCAACACTGTCGCCCAGGTCCTCAAGTACGTACCAGCCCAGCCCTGCCCCATTCCCTGGGGCCACCCCGTCCTGTCTTTGTTGCCAAGGGAAGGAAGAGGCCCTTTCCTCTTAACTGGAGGGCCCTCGAGAGGGTCCTCAGGTGGCCGTGTCAGCGGTCGTGGGAAGCAGAATTTGTTTTCCAATAAAATGAGTGCCTTGCTCTAGATCACGGCCCCTACCCCACCCCGAGCCAGCCTGCTGCTCTGTGGGGAATGACCATGCTGTTCCTGGAGGCACTGAGGCCCAATCTAGGGTCACTCCAGACTCCTTTGTTTCTTTCTACCCAAAATACATCCGGATGCTGACCAGGGTTCCCCTCATGCCTTCTGGGTCTCTTCTCTCTTGGCCATTCTGAGGTTGCTTTTGTAAATAGCAGCCAGCATGCCCGTGCTCTGAACGGCCAGGGCCTTCCCAGCTGACACAGTTCCCTGGCTGCATCCCCCTGGTATCCCTTTGCCTGGGACCTTCCTGTAGTGTGCACCTGCGTTACTTGCCAAGCCCTGCCCATGCGCTGTCAGGGCCCTCCTGGCAGCTGCTCTGTGAGTGGCGCCTTCCCCTGGGTGTCGGCCTCCAGAGGGCTGCTGTCTGTCAGCATTGCAGTAGGACTGGAAGGGAGGAGCAGGCTGCTCTCCTGTTTGCTGTGTGCTTCTATCCCCAGACAGACCACGCCCCTGCTGCCTCGGCCTTCTCTGGCGCTGTGCCTCTCTGTCTGCTGCATCCCACAGTCTGTCGGGCTCCCGACACCTCTGCAGAATCTGCCCTTCCGGCCGGCGCCACGGCTCACTAGGCTAATCCTCCACCTAGCGGCGCCGGCACACCGGGTTCTAGTCCCCGTCGGGGCGCCGGATTCTGTCCCGGTTGCCCCTCTTCCAGGCCAGCTCTCTGCTATGGCCCAGGAGTGCAGTGGAGGATGGCCCAAGTGCTTGGGCCCTGCACCCCATGGGAGACCAGGATAAGCACCTGGCTCCTGGCTTCGGATCAGCGCGGTGCACCGACCGCAGCGGCCATTGGAGGGTGAACCAACAGCAAAAAAAGAAGACCTTTCTCTCTGTCTCTCTCTCTCACTGTCCACTCTGCCTGTAAAAAAAAACAAAACAAAACATAATAATAAACATTTAATAAATGATAGCTTTAAAAAAAAAAGAATCTGCCCTTCCTTCCCACTGTCATTTACCGTTTTGCTCCCCAGTAGGTCTCCGTGAGAACGCCATTGTCTGTTCCGTGTTTGGTGGCATTGGGGCGAGCACAGAGCAGAGGGGTGCTGGCGTCAGGGTGCACAGTGAGACTGGGCTAGGGCAGCCTCAGAATTGGTGAGAGCTGCAGCATCTGGGGCCTGGGCACGTGTTTGTCTTTGTGCTGCCCGAGGGGCTCTTGCCGTGCGCTGTGTTTCGGAAATGGCAGCTGAGCTGCAGCAGAAGGGACCCTGGGCCTAAGTGAGCAAGAGAGGCACCAGCCTCCGCTTCTCCCTTCCGTGGCGTTCGTGCCCCTTGACTTCCTCTCACCCTGAGCAGCCTGAACCCTGGGCCGGGACGCAGCATCTGTGGTGGTGGAGGCTCACGGCGTGTCTCTCCTGCTCTGCCTAGGAAGCTGGCCGTCTTCGACACGTGGAGTTCCCTGGCAGTCCACATCGCCATGGACAACACCGTGGTGATGGAGGAGATCAGTGAGTACCTGGGGCTTCAGTGCGCACGGTGGGAATTGGGGGGGCGGGGAGTAGGGGTGGCGTTGTGCCCACTTTCCTGCCTGAGCCCACAGAGGAGCCTCACTGGGGAGGTTGCACTGTGCACATTGGGCCACATCTGGTCACTTCCCTGCAGTGACAGGACCTCTTCACCCCCAGGTCATTCTGGGATGCAGCTGTAGGGTCAGGAGGGAGGAGATGCGACCTTGATCCCAGCAGCACTCTGTGCTCAGCTTGGGGTGTTGATAGAAAGCTGTGTGTTTCTTCCTCTGCCTTTTCCCTCACTGCCTTTGCCATTCAGAAAGAATACATATTGGTGCTCGTGTTGTGGTGCAGCAGGTTAAGGGTAAGCTCGCTGCCGAGTGCCAGTGACCCATATCAGAGCACTGGTGTGCCTCCTGGCTGTTCTGCTTCCAGTCCAGCTCCTTGCTAATGGGCCTGGGAAAACAGGTGATGGCTTAAGTACTTAAACCCCTGCCACCCTCACGGGAGTCCCAGAGGGAGCTCCAGGCTCCTGGCTTCCACCTGGCCCAGCCCTGGCTATTGCGGCCATTTGGGGAGTGAACCTGCAGATGGAAGATCTCTTTCTCTGTTGTTATAAATAAATAAATAAATAAAATAAATGTTTTCAAATAAGTAAAATAGTTTTTTAAATAAAACACTAAGATTTGACATACTTTCAGTATCTGTGCTTTTCAAAAACTTAATGGTGTCGTAACTGTCTCGTTAGCTAGCTGCTCTGTCCACTCGTACACTCTAGTACACTCTTTGCACACTCTAGTCCCTCGATTGCTTCTCCTCCATCATCCTTAACCATACTCACCATCTAGAATTTGTATTTATTTTATTATTTGAAAGGCAGAGAGACAGAGACAGATTGCCCGTCTCCTTGTTCACTCCCCAGGCTGAAGCCAGGGTCCGGGAATTCCATCTGGGTCTCCCATGCCCATCTGTCTTCCAGAGTGTGTATTTGCAGGAAGCTAGAATAAGAAGTGGAGGTGGGACTTGAACCCAGGCGCTCTGACACGGGACACGGTGTCCTAACCTCACAAGGGAGGCTGGTTGCCACAGTGCGATGGCCAGGGAGGGCAAGGGTCAGGCTGTTTTCGGAATGCCCATCACACTGGATTTGTGTGGCATGGTGAGGGCCCCAGGGGCTTTGTGACTATCTTTTTTTTTTTTTTTGGACAGGCAGAGTGGAGAGAGAGAGACAGAGAAAAAGGTCTTCCTTTGCTTTTGGTTCACCCTCCAATGGCCGCTGTGGCCGGCGTGCTGCGGCCAGCACACCGCGCTAATCCAATGGCAGGAGCCAGGTGCTTCTCCTGGTCTCCCATGGGGTGCAGGGCCCAAGCACTTGGGCCATCCTCCACTGCACTGCCTGGCCACAGCAGAGAGCTGGCCTAGAAAAGGGGCAACCGGAACAGAATCTGGCGCCCCGACTGGGACTAGAATCCGGGGTGCCGGCGCCGCAAGGCGGAGGATTAGCCTAGTGAGCCGCGGCGCCGGCCTGTGACTATCTTTATGTGGACTCTGTCTGGCTTCAGTCTCATCTGGGGTCTCAGTTGTCCAGAGAGGCAGTGCTGGAACTATGTTGAGCACATGAATTAAGGGCTTATCAGAAGGAGATGGTTTGGGTCCTAGAGGGCAGGACCCAAGTCTGCAGTTCTTAAAAAGATTAATTTATTTGAAAGGCAGAACCACAAACACACACACCACGCCTTCCATCGACAGGTTCACTTGCCAAATGGCCACAACACCCAGAGCTAGGAGCTCCATCCAAGTCTCCCACGTGGGTGGCAGAGACCTCTAGTACTTGGGCCATCTCCTGCCTCCCAGGTGCATTGGTAAGGAGCTGGATGGAAGTGGCACTCCCATGGCTTAACCAGCTGTGGCACAGCGCTGGCTGCTGAGTCAGCATTTGTAACAGCTCCCAGGGAATGTGGGAGCCCTGGTCATGACTAGGGTCAGTCACTTCCCAGCAGAGGTGTCACTGCCCGTCGTGGGGGTGGGAGGGGATCCGATGTCTGAGCTAGGAGGAATCCAATGAACCAGAACAGCTTGCAAGGACACGCAGACTGACAGCCCAGTGTGCGTGGTGTGGGTGTGGGTGTGGGGAGATGCAGAGGGCCTCCATATAGACAGGAAATGAGCTGCCAGGACTTGCCCAGTGGGCAGCCTGGGGAGAAGGCACCTTGGCCAGGCCAGGGCTCTTGTCCCTCAACTGCTTGTGGAAGAACCAGTGAGAGGGGACCACACTCAGACTGCAGGAATGCCTGTTGAAGGCCAGCAGAGATGGCCATGCGGGCCCCACGGTCTCTCCTGTCGGGAGGTCCGGCCCTCACAGCCGCCGCAGACGGGGGAGGAGTTGAACCTGGGATAGATGGCACGTGGGGGTCTGTTAGATGCCATGCAGGGACAGTCGGGAGAGAGGGCAGCCGGAGTCAGGGAGCTGGAACTCACCCTGTGCAAGGTGTGACGGCAGTGCGCAGGGCCGAGAGCCGCTGTGCGCGTCAGGATGTTCCAAAGGCCTGGGAGAGAAGCCCTGGGTAGTGGTGAGACATCCTGATGATGGTGCTGGTGCCGGCACTGAGCTGCCTTTGCCAGGCCGTCCTGGCTTCCAGGGGCAGGGCACGGCAGACATCTGTGTGGCTGTTGTCACTGTTGAGTAGTGGGGAGAAGACCACTATCAGAACCTGCCCTCTTAAACGGCACTGTATCCTGCATTACAGTACCTGTGTCCCTGTCTCAAACCCACGTCTGAAGTAGCGTCTGGCTGAGGTCACCCTGAGTGTGGTGCTTGCCCCACCTGGAAGATCTGGGTTAAGTTCCAGGCTCCTGGCTTCAGCCTGCCTGGGCGCAGCTTTTGTAGGCATTTGGGGAGTGAACCAACAGATGGAAGATCTCTGTCTCTCTGTCTTCCAAACGAAAAAATGTTAAAACTCCTAGGGCTTGGAAGACCACATGTGAACTGATGAGAGCTCAGGTGCGAGGGCCACAGGCCCTGCCACCTGAGATGGCGGAGGGGCCTCGGCTAGGACCATGTCATCACCTGGAACTTTCCCACCAAGACAGACAGAAAGCCAGACCTGTGCTTGTAGAGAGGACACGTAGCAGACCAAGATGACACAGTAAGAGGCCAGCTTCTGATGGCAGAGTGCGCCGCTGCTCAGAGCAAGTGCTCCGCTGACAACTTCAGGAACTGGCACTTCCTGGGAAATAGAAAGTCGGGCCCAGTGCTGAGGCGCAGCGGGCTAGGCTGCCTGCATCCCACCTGGTGCTGGTTGGAGTCCCAGTTGATCCGCTTCCAGTCCAGCTCTCTGCTGTGGCCTGGGAAAGCGGTAGAAGATGGCCCACGTCCTTGGGCCCCTGCACCCATGTGGGAGCTGCGGAAGAAGCTCCTGGCTCCTGGCTTCAGGCTGGCCCAGCCCTGGCCACTGTTGCCATTTGGGGAGTGAACCAGTGGATGGAAGGTCGGTCTGTCTGTCTCTCCCTCTGTCTCTGTAACTTGTTTAAAAATAATTAGGTGGAGTCTGAGGAGAAAGCTAAGACACCTTCTTCCCTAAGTGTTCTGAGCTGTCTGCACAGGTTTCAGTCCTACCCAAACGTCCTGTGACTCAGCCCGATGCCCCCACTGTCCAGGAACCACCTTGGGGGCTGGCTTGCTGGTTGGATCAAGGGCCCAACATTGGGTGTAGGTAGTGGCCACATCTCTACTGTCCTTTAGTCCAAAAAGTTCTTCCTCCCTCTCTGGTCTTCCATAGCATCAGCTTGACCTGATTCTTCAATGGGGTGCTGCCCCCTTGATTTGCGTCTGTTTCGTGATAGTTGGATGTGGGTCTTCTGGCTCAAGAGTAGCAGCTGTCGCCTGTCTTGGGGTCAGTGAGCTCCATTGGGTCACCTGGGGAAGCTGAAGTCTGTACTCTGGTCTCGTTTACTGAGCAGGGAGTGATCGTTAATATGCATGAGTTTTATGTGGATCGTCTCTTACATATGGATCTGAACTTGGTGGTTTCTGCCTCATCTTCCTCCATGTTTATGGATTGGTATTGTTGAGAAGGGCCCCCTTCCCCCTCCGTATTGGAAAAGGTTTTTCAGGGTTCACGGATTCATGGATTCTTTTTAATGCAGTGTATTAATGGTTACTCTCATTCTTTAATGAATTAGATAGACAGCTCCTGCCTGCTGTTTCACTCCCCAAATGCCTACAACAGCCAGGGCTGAGCCAGGTCAAAGCCAGGAGCTGGGAATTCAACCTGTGTCTTCCTTGTGTGAGGCAGGAACCTAGACATTTGAGCCATCACCACTGCCTCCCAGCAGGAAGCTGGAGTGAGGAGCCAGGGCCAGGACTCGAATCTGGGCATTGCGGCATCCCAGCTGGTGTCTTAACTGCTAGGCAAATGCCAGCCCCTGTCAATCCTTTCAGTTGTCCCATGTTTGTGCCATCTCCGATGCTCCAGGCTCCCGCTGTGTGTCCCCACCTTGAGTGGGAGGTGTGTGTTCCCCACGCTGGAGTCGCTCTGCCAGTTAGTGCAAGGAAAGGAGGAGGAATTAGTGCTGGTGCCTTCCTGCTGAGCAGTGTCCGGGCGTGGTGAGCTGTGTGTGGCCAGGCAGGCAACTGGCGGGCCAGGAGCTCTTGGCTGTTTTGTGGGTGTGCTCCATTTCACAATAAAGTTTCAAACTGAATATGCACAGGCAACGTTTCTCTGTGGGTGGCAGAATTATAAAACATTATCCTTTTTATACTTCTGTTTTCCAAATTTGAGTTGCTTTTTAAGCACTTGGCTTTTTAGCTCACTTTTTCTGCTTCTTCGGGAGCACTTTTTTCTGGTTCCTTGGCCTGTGAGCTCTTCCCCCGCAGGGAGACTGTGCAGGAGCAGCCATCCCTGCGCAGGAGCCGCCACCCCGCCTGCAGGTGCCGACTGGCACTGCAATGGGTTCCCTGCCAGCACCGAGGTCACCAACAGGTCGCCCTGGAGACCCCTGGTGCTTCTCATCCCACTGCGCCTGGGGCTCACTGACATCAACGAGGCCTACGTGGAGACCCTGAAGGTGAGTGGCCAGTCTGGGGGCTGGCAGCCACATCTGCCAGGACCACATCACCTGCCCCTTAAGGTGAGAGGGGCCTCCTCCTCGTTTTGTTTGCAAGTGTGGGATCCTACACTTAGGGTGACTTGAGAACTTACTTGGAGGGTCCTGGTGTTCAAGGCGTGCTCTCCTTCCCGGGTCCTTGTCCCTTTGGAGAGTCGGCCTGTGGGAGGGGGCTGTGGGCAGGGCTGGGGGGGGGGCCCGAGGACCACTGAGATCCCTGGTGAGCACATCCCCACTCCTTCCTTCAGTGAGCTCAGGGCCGTAACCAGGAAGTCATGTTCGAGGCCATCACTGTAGGAGCTGAGAGTGGTCTCAGCCCCGGCCTCCAGCCCTCTGACTGCTCTCAGAGCCTGCTGGGGGCCTCAGCTCTGTTTTGTTCTCTGCTCCTCCCCACCCAACTCATCGCGTCAGACTGTATCCATCTCATTCTCTGGCCCTAGCTGGTGGCTCCTTCCCTGTCACTCGCCTGCTTTTCCGTGAGGGGGTCTCCCAGCCTCTGCTCTTGAGCCTGTGGACTGTTCTGTGCTGTCCCTCCTGGGCTTGGACTTTGTAGGACCCCGTCATCTCTGTCCTCCTGCTCTGGCCTGTTGGGCGCCCGGCCGGCTGGCCATGCATCTGTGTGCGCTGTCCCGTGTGCACAGCGCCTCGCCTCTCTCCCACAGCTCTGTTTCAGGATGCCCCAGTCGCTGGGGGTGATCGGAGGGAAGCCCAATAGCGCCCACTACTTCATCGGCTACGTGGGTGAGTCCAGACCAGGCTCTGAAGGGCGGCCTCTGCCTGCTCCCGTGCCTCAGCCTGGCTTGGGGTGGCTGCCCGCTGACCGCTGCTGTGTCGCCCAGGTGAGGAGCTCATCTACCTGGACCCCCACACAACGCAGCCGGCCGTGGAGCTGACGGACCTCTGCTTCATTCCTGACGAGAGCTTCCACTGCCAACACCCGCCCTGCAGGATGAGCATCGGGGAGCTTGACCCGTCCATCGCTGTGGTGCGTCTGACCCAAGGGCCACCGGGCACGTGCGGGGCGTTTTGTACCAGATCCTGTATGGAATGAGGACGGGCGCCTTGGATTTTTAAATTTTTTTTTTAGCATTTTGGAGTCAGTATCTGTGCACGTTTGGTCTAAAGGCACAACAGGTCCCTGTGTCATCTGACCACTCAGGTCCTCTCCAGCCTTCTGACAGCAGAGCCATGTGCATGTGAATGTGGGTGCATGTGTAGGCGTGTGCTAATAGGAGTGTGTGTGTGTGAGTGGGTACGTGTGTAGGCGTTGCTGATGGGAGTGTGTGTGAGTGGGTGCGTGTGTAGGCGTTGCTGATGGGAGTGTGTGAGTGTGACTGTTAGTCCTGCTCCTCTCACCACCTCTCAGTGAAGTCTTGCTGCCCACCCTAAAGTGACCCAGTGGGGAAGGACCACCCTTTACCCCTTCTCTACCCAGAGGAAAAACTGGGAAGAGTGACAGCCTGGAGATGCAACAGCTGTACCTCAGGGATCCTCTCAGTTCCATTATTAAGAATCGAAGGGGCTGGCGCCGCGGCTCACTAGGCTAATCCTCTGCCTGCGGTGCCAGCACACCGGGTTCTAGTCCCGGTCGGGGCGCCGGATTCTGTCCCGGTTGCCCCTCTTCCAGGCCAGCTCTCTGCTGTGGCCCAGGAGTGCAGTGGAGGATGGCCCAAGTGCTTGGGCCCTGCACCCCATGGGAGACCAGGAGAAGCACCTGGCTCCTGCCTTCAGATCAGCGCAGTGCACCAGCCACAGTGGCCATTGGGGGTGAACCAACAGAAGGAAGACCTCTCTTTCTCTCTCTCTCTCTCTCTCACACTGTCCACTCTGCCTGTCCAAAAAAAAAAAAAAAAAAAAAAAAAGAGAAGTCGGGTCCTAAAACCAGAGAGTCTCTTGGACACAGCTCAGTCCCGGAGTGCACACGCTTCTCACACGCACAGCCCAGGTGAACCTGCTTTTGAGTTGCTCACCTCACTGAAGGGAGGCACGTGGGCGAGCACGTGTGTGGGTCAGCGGCTCACCGTGGGGTGTGTGGTCGCACCTGGAATCCGGCCTCCACACGTGGCTGTGGAGCAGACTGGTGACTGCTTCGTCTGTGGGAGTCAGGGAGGCTTGGAAAGCGCACCCGACGTCGCATTGTGTAGGGAAATCCAGGCCGGGTGCCGGCTGCAGCTGCACTGGGGCCTTGCTGGCTGCCGCTGCTGTTCACCACAGGGCTTTCTTTCAGTGACATCGTCATTTTCTTGCAGGGGTTCTTCTGCAAGACAGAGGAAGACTTCAATGACTGGTGCCAGCAAGTCAGGAAGGTCTGTAGCTGCCCCTCGCACAGCAGCGCAGAGCCTCCTGGGGAACCGGCAGCGGGTAGACAGGGCCAAGGCCAGGGGTCCCATGGTGCTCACGTGAGGGACCTGGGTGTGCGTACCGGGCACTCATGTCATCGGGGATTCTGGTGCACCCCCATCCTGTGTGGACACAGGAGGTGCTGAGTGGAGCTTGCTCCTGGGGGCTTCCTCCACTGACACCAGCTGCCCTGAGCCCTCTGCTGGCTGCTGCACTGCCAGCCAGTCAGGCCTGTTCCGCACGCCAGTTGGCAAACTGGGCTCCTGCCATGGCTGTCACCTAGTGCCATGGGATAGCAACAGTGCTTCCTCTAGGGCCGTGGCTGTCTGGTCTCTCTAGGGGTGGGGACAAAATGATGGGTGGGTGGCCTGTGACAGCCTTGTCTTGCCCACAGCTGTCCTTGCTGGGAGGTGCCCTGCCCATGTTTGAGCTGGTGGAGCAGCAGCCTCCTCACCTGGCCTGTCCCGATGTCCTGAACCTGTCCCTAGGTGAGTATGCAGTTCCCTGGGCGCTGCCTGCTTCTGTGAGGCCTGCAGCGCATCCATGGACCCCAGGCTCAGCCTTGCAGTGTCTCCTCCCCTGCCCAGGGCACTGTGGGCACCGTGGGGCTGGCCGTGCTGTCAGCGTCCTCGGACTCTGCAGGAGATGAGGAGGTGGGCCCAAAAGCACGCCCAGCCGAGTGTCAGGTGCCAGCCGGGAAGGCTCCAGGCAGAGGCCTGCTAGGCGTGGGCAGCCCTGTCTGGGGGTAGTGGGGTCCCCTCCCTGGTCCTTGTCCTCTGCAAGCAGTGTCTGGGTCCTGCTCTCTTTGTGTGCCCTTTCTTTTTAAGAGGTGTTTGTTTATTTTGAAAGAGGGATTCCGATTGCTCCCCAAGTGGCTGCAACAGCCAGGGCCAGGGCTGGGCCAGGCCAGAGTCAGGAGCTTCATCTGGGTCTCCCATGTGGGTCCAGGGGCCATCTTGGCGACTTGGGCCCTCTTCTGCTTTTCCCAGGCCATTAGCAGGGAGCTGGATCGCAAGCAAAGTAGCCAGGACTCGACACACCCATAGCGATACCTGCCAACCAGCTCTGCCGCACGCCGGCCGCGCCTTCTCCTTAACTAGGCTGTTGATTCCTCTCTGCCTCCTCAGGTCTCTCCCTCCCCCGTGGCTGCTCCAACCCCAGTGCGGGCTGGCTGAGCGCCTCCTTACCCTGAGGGTCGACCTCGCTGACCCTCTATCTTGTTCCTTCTAGAGTCTTCTGATGTAGAGCGACTAGAAAGATTCTTTGACTCAGAAGATGAGGACTTTGAAATCTTGTCCCTTTGAAGATCCTGCATTGGGAAACGGCTTCGGCAGGCCTCGCCGGGCGCCATTAGCCTGCCCGCCCGCTGAGTGCCTGTGCCCTGGGCCACCCCACTCTGCCAGTGGGCCGAGGACTGCCGCCCTGAGACCTGCCTTCTTGGAGTCAGACTGCCCGCCGTGCAGCGCGCACGTCCACAGGAAGAGCTGCCACACAGCCTGGTGCAGCTGGGCCTGGAACTGCTGCAGCCCCCCGCAGCCCTGCCAGTCTGGCCGTCTTCGTTGGCTTCAGTGCTGCTGCCGCCTGGTGCCTGGGTCTGTGGTTGGTTTGGAATTAAAGCCCTGTTTGAAGTTGTTCAACAGACACGAGTCAGTCGTGGCAGCCCTACAGGTTGGCATGTGAGGGACAGCAGTGGCTGCGCTGTGGCCCGGTGCCCGTGGACAGGCTGCTGCTGGGCAGGCAAGCTCTGGGGCCATGTCCCCTCAGCCATGGCCTCTGCCCAGTGTGGTGTATCAGGGTCACCTCGCGGGAGATCAGGTGGAGTCACAGCAGAGTTCCTCCTTGCTTCGGAGAGGAAGGTGCCCAGACCAGCTGTGTGGAAAGTGCAGCGCCGGCTGCCTGCCAGGACCGCGTGGTGGCCCGGCCACTGGCAGCCTATCCCAGGTGTCTCCAGCTGCCACACCCAGCTTCCCAGCACCCCTTGCTGCTTGGTAGCCATGCTGTGACAGGGACAGGGGAGTGGCATTCGCCTGCAGGGGCCTCTCTGGTCACTGAGGTTTTGATGTTCTGCAGCCAAAGTGCTCATGGATTCCAGCTGTGGTTCCAGACCCACTTGGGTGCCTCTTTCAGCACCTGCCCTTTTACCCCATGCTGTGGGCCCCGTGGGTGCCACGCTGCCTGCGTCTGCTGGGAGAGCTGCTTTCGGAAGTGCAGATGGGGTGGGAGCTGGCAGCTGATGGCTGGGCTGCTGCTGCCCATGCAGTGGGGCTGGAGCTCGGCTCGTCTCTGGGGACATCCGCTGTGGCTGTCAGCTCCGCCCGGCCCAGTGAGGCAGCAGAGGACTCCCTAGCTCCAAGCACTAACCTAATTTATTTTCTCTTCTTTCACTTTTCCTCCCAGCCTCCCTCAGCTGCAGCGGGTGGGGCAGGAGGGAGGTGGGGTCGGTCGCCCTCTGCTCCTCAGGGTCTCCAGCGTGGACCAAAGGGGAGCTCTCTCTTGCTCACGAGGCTCTGAAGAGGATGTTGTCCTTCTCAGTAGTGTAGTTTGCTGTGCTCAATGGCGAATAATAACATTTCAGTAGAAAACGGTTTGTATGTCTGTTGATTTTTCCTGCAATTAGTTGAACAGTCTCCAGAAGAAAAGGAGTGAACGTCTGAGCTCCTCGGCTGGCTCATTCCCAGCCTTCGGCAGGTTCCACCTGCCCTGGTTCCCGCCTGGCTCCTGGGAGCCCCGGCATCTGTCTCTGCTGTTGGGCTGGGTGAACACTTGACCCTGAAAGAAGCAGGCACCAGAGGAGGCTGCAAAAGTGTCCCCTGGGCAGCTGGAACTGACCTGGCTGGAAGAAGGGGGAGGTGACGAAGACTGGTTGCCTCCTCTGTCCCATGAAATTCAGGTGGGGCAGCCCTGGGTAAACACCTGCCTCCCAGATACAGGCTAAAGAGGGAAACCCTGAGGCCTGCGCTGTGGTATAGCAGGTAAAGCCGCCACCTGCAGTGCCGGTGTCCCATGTGGGCACCGGTACGAGTCCTGGCTGCTCCACTTCTGATCCAGCTCTATGCTGTGGCCTGGGAAAGCAGTGGAACATGGCCCAAGTCTTTGGGCCCCTGCACCTGCATAGGAGACCCAGAGGAAACTCCTGGCTCCTGGCCTTGGATCCATGCAGCAGATGGAAGACCTCTCTCTGTGTAACTCTGCCTTCCAAATAAATAAATAAATCTCTTAAAAAACAAAACGAGGGAAACCCTGCTGGGCCCTAGATGGAGTGGCCCAAAAATCCATCATGGCTTCTCACGCCCTGCAGGCTGCCATGCTGCTCGCGTCACACTGCCAGCAAGGCCCCTTTCTGGGGCGTTGTCTGTGCCTGGGGCCCTGCACCCGCCACCCTCACAGCTGGCAACACAGCAGCTCCCAGCTCAACTCTGATGTCCTCACTGGTGCTCCAGGACTCTCCCAGGCCAAGGTGCTTACTGGATGCCCACTGCAGGAGCTGTTTGCTGAAACATCACACCCTTCCCTCTGGGGGCCCCCTGGTAGGGCCCCTCCTCCCAGGATATGACCATAGGCCCATCAGCATAGCTGCATCTAGAATACAGGTCCTTGGGACTGGCCTTTGGCATAGTGGGTTAAGCCTCTGCCTGCAACTCGCATCCCATGAGTGCCAGTGCACGTCCCAGCTGCTCCACTTCCAATCCAGCTTCCTCCTAATGCACCTGGGAAAACAGTGGAGGATGGTCCAAGTATTTGGGCCCTGCACCCATATGGGAGACCCAGAAGCTCCTAGCTTTGGCCCAGCCCAGCCCATGCTGTTTTGACCAGGGAGTGAACCAGTGGATGGAGGTTCTCTCTCACGCTCTAACTCTTTCAAAAAAAAAAAAAAAATTAACAATGCAGCTCCTTAGGCCACTCACACTGCCCGCATGGCTGCCCTGTGAGGTGAGGTGAGGACATAGGAGCCAAAGTCCACAGTGGAGACCCTTCACCAGGAAGTCCTGGCCCTGAAATAGGGCCCTTTTCACTCAGTGAATGGGGTTGAGCCCACTGCTGGCTAAGAAGGTGAGGCCTCCCACAAGCACACTGATGTCAGTTTTTATTCGAAGAAATTCAGGAGGACTGCCACTTCCTGCAGTGGCCCGACAGGACAGGCGGGGCGGGCCTTGGCCATGGGAACGGGAGCCCTCCAGTTTCCTCTCCAGCGATGGCCTGGGCTCACTTCCACAGCTCTCCCAGCGGCCTCTGTGCGGCACTGAGGATGGCGTCCTCGGAGAGAGCACGGATTTCCTCGTGGACGTCTTCAATGCTTTTGGAAGCATCCACCATCTGTTCCCAAGATCCAGGAGGAAGAGATGACCGTTAACAGTGCTCAGCACTGGTGGGGCCTGCAGAACCCGAATCTGCCACAGGGAGCCCGCCCCCATCTGATCAAGTGCCCGCGGTACAGTGGCGCTGCCCCCTCGCCTGCCACTGGCCCGAGGCAGCACGAGCACGGGCGTCCACGTCAGCTGCTTCCCCGCCGTGGGCACTGCAGCACCTTTAACTGTCCTGGTTCCCACCCACTCGTGACTGCAGGGGCGGAAGGAAGCTGTGGGCAGGACCAAGCCACTCTGTGCCCTGGCGTGTGCACCTGAGAAAGGTCACGGGGTCAGCACACAGGGGCTTCTCCGCTGGGGTCAGGGGATGGGACAGAAGCAACGGCATTTCCAGGGAGCCCCTGTGCCGCCAGGGCTGGCCGGGAATCTGCGGCCTCTGTGACAGCAGCCTCTGGAACAGCTCCCGGAAAGCACCAAGAACGCGATCCCCACACACACGTCCTAGTGGCAGTGTGCAGGGCCCATGCCCAGACGCTGCAGGGGGCTCTTGGGGCTGCTTGCAGCCAAGGGAGAGCACAGCTCAAGGACATCGCTATCCGCCCTCTGCTGTCGGAACCAAGAGTGCAACGTCAGGGTAAACCCTTCCATGTCACAGGCAAGGGACCAGTGAAGCAGGGTGGGTGGCACCGAGACCACCCCTGGCTTTGGTGGAGGAGCTGGGTGGGCAAATGCAAACTGGACACTGCAGGCAGTGCCCGACCAGGACCTCTCTGGCTGTGTGGAGAGGCGCACAGGGACCAGTGTGCAGCAGAGAAGTCGCAGAGGCTCAAGGAGGGGCCAGCTTCGGCATCCAGTCTGGGACTGGGGTGAACATGTGCACTGAGGCCAGAGGACACCACACACAGCCTTGTCCTGCACAGGGAAGTCCTGCTGTGGCACTTCCATCTAGGTGAGGGGGTTGGGGACACCTGTGCCTGGAGCCACCAAGGGCGAGATGGGCAGGCAGGAGGGAATTGGCAAAGGCGTCCAGGAGCTCCAAGAACTGGCCTGGGAATGGTTGAACTCCGACCCTGGACCACACGACCTCAGCACAAGCGCTGCCCTCGGGGGCAAAGGCAGAGCCAAGTGTGGAGCAGCTGGGAGTCTGCCCTGGCTGGAGGCCCTGGGGGCAGGGCTGGGCTGTCAGTGCAGGGCGCCTGTTCCTCAGCACCTCACCGAAGCCGGACGGTCAGAGCAGACGCAAGGCGCAGGGCGCTGCCGGCTCAGCCGCTCACCTTCCAGTTGAGACTCGGGTCCCTCATGAGCTGGTGGAAACCCTGCAGTGCCCGCTCCTGGAAGGCCCTGCTCTCGTACCGCTCGCAGCCAAACTCTCCCCGCGAGGCAGCCTCCGCCAGCTTTAGCTGCAGGAACAGGACCAGGTCGGGTCTGGGGAGGCCCACGTCCGGCTGCTTACACCACTCCAGGGAAAAATTCTAACAAAGACAGCGACACTTAAGAGAACGAAGCTTAGTGGGACCTACTTTTCATTTTAAAAGGAATTAGGGGGAAGAAGCTGATGTGTGTGGTGGCACAGGCCCCGCACCTGGGGTGCCGAGGCAGCACTCACCTCCTTGGCGCTCGTGAAGGCGACACCAGAAAATGCGTATCTGTCCACGACGAGGGTCACACCCTGGCTCAGCTTCTCCTTAATGAACGGCCTGGAAGACAGGAACACTCCTGGACCCTGCCCTGGCGCAGAGGCCCTGAACTGTCTTCTGTACATGGTGATCCTGACAGGCACCCAGAAGCCCCACGGGACACAGGACTTGTGACCTTAACGCCTGTTCAGAAAAGCTCTGAGCATGGAAAAGGCAGCCCCGCTGGACAACAGCACATGCTGATGAGAAAGCCCAGCGTCCCAGAAACACCGGAACGGGGACAGGAGGCCTCTCCGCTGCCTGTGCAGAAGGCACGGCACAGCCAGCAGGTGATGTATCCATGTGTCGGGGCTGCCCTGATGAGGATGGACGGGATGCCAAGGACAGTCTCCATCAAATGCCACAGGCCCACCCCATCTCCACGGCTCCAAGAGGGGCCTTGAGAAGCACTGCTGAAGGCCTGGAAGCAAGGTCAAGTTCACCTCTCCCAGCTGATGTCACCAGGGACCTCCAAATGCAGGGACACCCACATAAATCCAGAAACCTGCCTCTGACAGTGCAGCAAGTCTTCAACCAGCGGACAGCCACATGCAGAGAAACGGACGCAGGCACAAAGCTAACTCAAAATGGATCACGGAACTGCAAAGCTGCTGATAGTAATGAGGGAGAAAGGCAAGATGACCCTGAGTGTGGCAATGACTGTGCAGACACGACAGCAGACACAACCCATGAACTGGTCAGCTGGGCTTCAGGAGAACAAAAATTCTGCAGTCAACACAAACTGGGAGAAATACGCATCACAGACATCCGATAAAATGTTATCCAAAATACAAAGAACTCTTAAAACACAATAGCAAGCAGGCAGATTTAAAAAGGGATTAAAAAAAAATAAAATAAGAGGCCAAAAGGGCCCAGCGCTGTGGTGCAGTGGGTTAAGCCACCACTCGTTATGCTGCATACCACATAGCAGAGCAGGTTCCAATTCTGGCTGCTCTACTTCTGATCCAGCTCCCTGCTAACACCCCTGGGAAGGCAGTGGATGATGTCCCAAGTACTTGGATCCCTGCCACCCACACTGGAGACCTGGATGGAGCTCCTGGCTCCTGACTTTAACCTGATCCAGAGTTGGCTGTTTCTAGGGCGTGAACCAGAAATGAAGAACTGTCTCTCCCTGTCTCTGTTACTCTTTCAAAATAAATCTAAAAAACAGAACGGACCAAAGACCTTAACCGACAGCTTGCCAAAGACTCAAAGATGCCAAGTTTGTGAGAGAAGCTCCACTTCAGCTCCTCAGGGGAATGCAAATCAGACACGGCCACACTTATCAGGAAGCCAAAAATGAGAAACCCCACGCCAGATGCACCAAGTATGTGCGGCGACAGCAGCTTCCCCTGCTGCTGTGGGAATGCAAAATGGCAGGCACCTGGGAAGGCATTTTGGCAGTTTCTCACAAAACTAACCGAGCCAGCAATTCTCTTCCTTGGGATTGACCCCAGGTCCTTGGGATTGACCCCAGGAGATACAAATTCAAGTCTGCACAAAAGCTTGCACGTGCATGTCTCTGACGGCTTTATTCATTTTTTATTTATTTATTTATTTTTTTTTTTTAATTTTTTTATTTTTTGACAGGCAGAGTGGACAGTGAGAGAGAGAGACAGAGAGAAAGGTCTTCCTTTGCCGTTGGTTCACCCTCCAATGGCCGCCGCGGCCGGCGCGCTGCGGCCGGCGCACCGCGCTGATCCGATGGCAGGAGCCAGGAGCCAGGTGCTTTTCCTGGTCTCCCATGGGGTGCAGGGCCCAAGCACCTGGGCCATCCTCCACTGCACTCCCTGGCCACAGCAGAGGGCTGGCCTGGAAGAGGGGCAACCGGGACAGAATCCGGCGCCCCGACCGGGACTAGAACCCAGTGTGCCGGCGCCGCTAGGCGGAGGATTAGCCTAGTGAGCCGCGGCGCCGGCTCTGACGGCTTTATTCATAACTGCCAACACGTGCATGTCTGTAACGGCTTTATTCATAACTGCCAACATTTGGACGCAACCAGGACATCTTTCAGTAGGTGAACGGCTAAATAAACTGATCCATCCAGACAGCAGAACAGCATCTAAGAAATTAACCCCTGGGCTGGCGCTGTGGCATAGCGGGTTAAACTGCTGCCTGTGACACCAGCCTCCCATATGGTGCCAGTTCAATCCCGGCTGCTCTGCTTCCAATCCAGCTCCCTGCTAATGCACCTGGGAAAGCAGTGGAAAATGGCCCAAGTGCTTGGGTCCCTGCCACCCATATAGGAGACTTAGCTCAAGCTCCTGGCTTCAGCCTGGCCCAGATGGTCATTTGGGACATGAACCAGTGGATAGAAGATCTCCCTCTCTCTCTCAAACTCTGCCTTTCAAAGAAATAAAATAAAATTAAACAAACAAAACACCCGAACCGAACCATGAAGACATGGGGGGGAATGAACACAGGCGCGGAGTCTGGTGCTTTCAGAGACAGCATTAGCCCTGCTCGCTAGACATCGCTACCCCTAATTAGACATAAGTGTTTACACTACTTTTCTACAAACCCACAAAAGGCAAAATTGGATCAATCACCACCATAAATTCCAGATATGTTAAAAGATCACAAAAATGGTCTCATTGTCATCTCTAACTCGGAGTGGGGAAAGCCATTCCAAGCAAAGCATAAAGCAACACGGAGGAGAGTAAGAGGCTTGTGTAAGTAGAAACCAGGAGAAGCCCTCAGGTCTACCAGCAAACTGGCTCAGTCAGTGTGAGACTTTGGGAGAACACTGCAGCCATAAAAAGGATCAACGACACCTGCCACAGCTACGAGGAACCAAATACTCGATGTGTGAAACACACACACACACACACGCATACAGGTTAAGCTACCAGCTGCCACGCTGCCATCCCATCTGGGTGCTGGCTTGTTCCCCAGCTGCTCTGCCTCCCATCTGGCTCCCTGCTAAGGCACCTGGGAAACCAGCGGAGGACGGCCCAAGTGCTTGGGCCCCTGCATCCATGCAGAAGATGGATGAAATGCCTGGCTCCTATCTGGCACAGCCCCAGCCACTGCAGCCATTTGGGAAGTGAACCAATGGAAGGAAGCTCTCTCTGTAAGTCCGCCTTCCAAATAAATAAAATAAATCTTAAATTTTTTTTTTTTTGACAGGCAGAGTGGACAGTGAGAGAGAGACAGAGAGAAAGGTCTTCCTTTTGCCATTGGTTCACCCTCCAATGGCCGCTGCGGCCGGCGCATCGTGCTGATCCGAAGGCAGGAGCCAGGTGCTTCTCCTGGTCTCCCATGGGGTGCAGGGCCCAAGCACTTGGGCCATCCTCCACTGCCTTCCCTGGCCACAGCAGAGAGCTGGCCTGGAAGAGGGGCAACTGGGACAGAATCCGGCACCCCGACCGGGACTAGAACCCGGTGTGCTGGCGCTGCAAGGCAGAGGCTTAGCCTACTGAGCCGCGGCGCCGACTAAACCTTAAATTTAATAAACAACAACAAAAACCAGGGCCTGGCACTATGGTATTAACAGGTAAAGCCACTGTCTATAGTGCCGGCATCCCATACGGATGCAGGTTCGAGAACCAACTGCTCCACTTCTGATCCAGCTCTCTGCTATGGCCTGGGAAAGCAGTGGAAGATGCCCCAAGTTCTTGGGCCCCTGCACCCATATGGGAGACCCAGAAGCTCCTGGCTCCTTGTTTTGGATCGGCACCGCTCTGGCCATCTAGGAAGTGAACCAACAGATGGAAGATCTGTCTTTTTCTGCCTCTCTATAACTCTGCCTTATAAATTAATTTTCAAAAAGCCATACACAGAGAAATTAAAAAAAAAAAAACAACTTCAACTGTGTGATATCTGTGTATATGTGAATGGAAATTAAAATATCTGAACGGGCACGCCAGAGGCGCTCAGTGAACACACGCATTGAGGAAAGCTGCATGTAAACCGCACGCTTCAGTTAATGCAATGGCCACACGCTATGTAAGTAGGGAGATGGGGGGTGTGTGTGCAGGCATTCTACTTTTTGGTTAATTTCTCTACATACTGGAACAGAGGTAAGGCTATGAGTTCCAGGAGGGGTCTTGAGCCCTCTCTGGAACTGAGGACTAACTGGAACAGCCCTGCTGGCAGCCCCCGCCCCTTCACCGGTGGGAAGCCGTGCGTGGGGAAGGGACGGCAGGGGTTGCTGTTTTTACACTTGTTCCCAGCGGTTTGCAGAAAACAGCAGGTGCACCGAGTGATCCTCCACTTCACTTTTCTTTTCCAGGTAGGAACTCAGCAGTTTGCCGATTTCAGTTGATCTTTCTACAAGAGAAACACACAAGGGGTCAGGCTTTCCGTTTGGGTTAGCGTGTGCTCTGGGCCGAACCTCTTCCGAGCCTTGCTGTATGAAAATTTCTACGCAGACTGGGGCTTTCCCCCGATGCCAAAGCAGTTTTTCTCAGAAAAGGGCGCGCCACGTGGACAGCAGGGACTCGAAGGAGGTATTTCTAAAACTTGCAGCCAAGTTGGCTCCAAGATTAGAATAATAAATACCCAAGGAAGCCCTTCCGCACCCAGCCTGTGACGCCCGAAGCCTTCCCCTGACTAAACATCCAGTGTCTTCCTAAGCATCGCCCGGGCCAACGCTCTGCTTCGAAAACGCGCCCCCAGACCCTTCCAAGGGCGGACGGCCACCCGAACCCAGCCCCACAGGGACGAGACGCGGACCCCAGCGCTGCAGGCGGCTTCTGGGCGCGGGGCGGCGACGGTCCCACGCGTCCGGACCGCGCACTTACAGGCGTGCGGGTTTCTGCACGCCAAGCGCAGATCCACCGAGCAGCGCGGTGCCGCGGCTGTCAGGGCCGCCGGACCGCGAGGCGGCGCGCACCCACCCGGGAAGCGCAGCAGCTCGGCGCGGTGGCCCGCGGCGCGCAGCGCGGCCACCAGCTTGCGGCTCTGCGTGCTCTTGCCCGCCCGATCCACGCCCTCCAGCACGATCAGGGCCCCGCGTCTGCCAGCCATTGTCCTTCCCGCCACCGCGCAGCGCATCACTGTCGCACCGCGGCCCGGCGTCGCGTCGCGAGCGGCGATTGGCTGGGGGCTTCCGGCGTCGGCGGCGCGGGCCGCGATTGGCGGGGACCTCTGACGTCAGTAGTGACCGACAGGGACTGCCGGGGGCGCGGCTAGGGCGAGCGCGGGCGGAGTCGGCGTCCTCACCCGCGCTTTGGGCTGCGTTCCGGTCTTGCGCGGGCGTCAGCCGCCCGTGGACCGGAGCGTGGGCCCGGGCTCGGGCGCGGGGTTGAATAGCACGGGGCTGCGAGACGTGGCGGTCGGCGGGCGCGAACCCCGTCCCCGTCCCGGGGCCCTCTTACAACACCCCCGCGACCCGGGGCAGGGGCGGGCGGGCGGCGTCCACGGTGGGCTCGGCGCGCCTCACAGCCCGCGGCCCCGCCTGAGGGCGACTGTCGGGGACATCCGGTCCCCCGCTGGGCGGGTCGCCTGTGGCCCCTTGTAATGCAGTCACTTTGTCAGGGTACCTTTGTTACCGGAGAAATGGCAGGGTTCTGGTCTTCGCGCAAGAAATAATTCAGGCGTGAGACAGAGAGTAGTGAGAGGTAAAATAGCAAGGTTTATTAGGGCAGGGACATCCGTAAGGATGGATGGGCACCTCTCCAGACAGGACCTGGGAGAGTGCCATCGCTCGGATGGGGGGGGGGGGCAAGGTTACATGATTGAGTGGAAAGATTACACCAGGCCAGGCAGGTGGGCGGCTCAGCAGCGAGGCAGAGGGCTGAGCGCGCCGTCCAGTCGAGGCTGGGGGTTTTTAAGGAGATTGGTCTTGCTTCCCCACCTCTGCTCCTCTTGGAACAAAGGGCTTTTGGGATGTAATAGAAAAACTTCTCTCTTGTAGGTCTGAAACAAAGGACTTTATGGATGCAAATGTTATCGGACAGGAGGAAGGGAGCAGGGTGTTTGAGATGCAGATACTGGGCTGCACCTGGGAGATTGTGGAAGATTTGTCAGGCAGAAGGGGTGGGGACCTCCACCTGGCAGGTTATCAGGTAGAAGGGGGCAGGGCAGGGCAGGATGTGAATACGGGCTGCCCCTGAAACACCATCGGGACGACCTTGAGATGCAGCATGTGCTGGACACAGATGTCTTCTCTCTAGGCCTTCATGTCACACACACAGAAGCTCATAACTGACTTCCTACCCAACACCTTGAGCAGCTTCCATTTCCATGACAGCTCCGCGTGCCGGGGCGAGGTTGTCGTGGGGGCGTCGCACGCGTGCCCCGTGGCCACGGGGCCTCCCAGGCTGACAGGCTCCCCCGTTCAGGCAGAAGCAGCTGCACCAGCCCTCCCTGCCCCCCCAACATGAAAACAGGGAGCGAAAGAAAGCACGGGGTTTGCAGCTCGCCCCCAAGAAGCCCTGAGTCTGGGACCCTCTGAGCACAGCACAAGCCGCTGAGCGCCGAGGAAGGTGCTTGGTGCTGTCTCCCAGGTGAGGAGCCACAAGTCCGCATCGCCTGTGAAATGTCCATCCGGGGGCTTGGGACACCTGCACCCCACAGCAGGGTGCTCGGGGTCGAGTCCCATCTGTTTCCCATCCAGCTTCCTGCTAACTGCACCTTGGGAGGCTGCAGGTGATGGCTCAAGTGCCTGGACTCCTGCCCCCTGGTGGGAGACCTGGGTGGAAATTCTGCGCTTTGGCCTGGTGCAGCCCTGACTGTGTGGACGTCTGGGGACTAAATCAGCAGATAGAAAGTCCATTCTCTGTTGCTCTGCCTTTCAAATAAATAAAAATAAACAAGTAAAACTTTAAATAAAACACCAATCTTACTGTCTTCAGGACGAAGGGTTGTGAGGAAGAGAACCTGCAGCAGTGGGCAGGGTCTGGAAGGCAGGTGGGTAGCACAAGGCCTCAGGCCTGTGCGTCCGGGCAGGTGAGGGCCATGGGCACGGCGCCTCGGGCCTGTGCGTCCGGGCAGGTGAGGGCGATGGGCACGGCGCCTCGGGCCTGTACACACAGAGCCTTCCTGGGGGCCTATGGTGAGGGCCTGCGTGCAGGGTAGGGGAGTACTCTGGACGGCAGGAATGGCTCCACTGGCCCAGGCACACTGGGGTTTGTTTTTGAGATACAAGAAGCACTTTTGTTTCATCTCTCCCAACGTGGCATCAGCGCGAGCAGTACCAGCTGTGGCCTAGCTCGTTACCTCTGAGGCACGGGGTCCCGAGTCCGGCAGCCAGGTCCTGGGCCACTGCTCCACGGTCCTAACAACGCCCTTGGCTCTTCCTCTGCGATCCCGGGTCCCGACCTCACGGGGGCACAGCAGAGTCTGCAAGGCATCCAGCCTCTGCCTGTGCTCCTCTGATGGTCACGTCTCAGCCCCTGCTTGTGCTCCTCTGATGGTCACGTCTCAGACCTTCTCTCCAGCCCAGCTCGCCCCGGTGCAGTGGGAGTGAGGGGCTCGTCTCCCACCCACGGCGGCCTACAGATGACACTGAGGGGTTCTGCCCACTTCCACACAGGTGCGGGCTGCGTCAGGGGAAGTAGGAGGGGACCCAGAGTTGGCTAAACTTGGCAGATGGGCACAGGGGTTCATTGGATTCTCTCTGGTTTGAGACTTTCCATTGGAAACAGGAGAGTAAATCCCTTTGACCAGTCCCTGCCTCCTACTGTGCTGCAGGAAGTTTCAGGCTCCTCTAGCGTTCATCCAAGTCGTTCACTGTTAGTGTGCCGGTGCTGCCATGGATGGGTAGCTGGTGTGACGGAAATGTATGTTCTCGGTTCTGGACGCTGGAGGCCAAGGTGCCGGCAGAGCTGCTTCCTGGTGTGGGCTAATGGAGTCTCCTTTTCTTTTCTTTTCTTTTCTTTTTTCTTTTTTTTTTTTAAAGATTTACTTATATATTTATTTGAAAGGTAGTTAGAGAGAGAGACAGAGATCTTCCTTCTGCTGGTTCACTTCTCCAAATGCCTACAACAGTTGGGGCTGGGGCAGACTGAGGCTAGGGGTCTGGAGCTCCATCTGGGTCTCCCACACAGGTGGCAGGGCCCAAGTGCTGGAGCCATCATCTGCTGCCTCCCAGGCGTGCACTAAGCAGGGAGCTGGGTTGGAAGCAGAGCAGCCAGGACTTGATCAGGCACTCAGATATGGACACCGGCATCCCAAGCAGTGCTTAACCTGCTCTACCACAACGCCTGCCCCACTTTCTCTTATTATATGAGCAAGAGTCCTATTGTATTAGGCCCTTTTGTAGCCTCATTTAACCTTTCTTTGCTTTATTTATTTAATTTATATGAAAGGCAGAGTTACAGAGAGGCAGAGAGAGAGGTCTTCCATCTGCTGGTCACTTCCCAAATGGGCTGCAATGGCTGGATCTGCGCCAATCCAAAGCCAGGAGCCCAGGAGCTTCTTCTTGGTCTCCCACAAGCCAGTAGAAGGGCCCAAGGACTTGAGTCATCTGCTGCTTTCCCAGGCCACAGCATCCAGATCCAGATCCAGAGCTGGATCGCAAGTGGAGTGACCAGGACTCGAACAGGCGCCCATGTGGGACGCAGGCACTGCAGGTGGCAGCTTTACCCTCTACACCACAGCACCAGCCCCTCATTTAACCTTAAATACCTCCTAAAGGTCCCATTTGCAGCTACGGTCATGTTGGGGTGAACATTTCAGTCCACAGCACCCACTCAAAAACAGACTGCTGAACATACCACTGTGTGCTGGTGTGTTTCCCAGGCTTCCTTGCAGGTGGATGTGGCCGGGCTACTGTGTTACTGCCAGAGATGGGAGCAGCCCCTTTAGACGGCCTCGCTGTCTCCACGCTCTCCCACATACTCCAGCCGCCCCAGGGACCCCATGCGGCATGGCTGCCTCCAGACCCTGCTCGTTGGAGCTTTTACGCAGATAAAAACTACTCTCTCCTAAATCGCTGGGTTGCGGTTGGGTAAAACTCTTTCCTAAACTGCTGGGTTAGGGTCACTGTCTTTCCTGAAGCAGTGGCACTTGGTGATGTCTGGCCAACAGCGTCTGGAGGGCGGATGCCAGGGCACTGCTAAACATCCTACAAAGCCCAAGACAGTCCCTTACCAATTCGTGCAGGGCCTAGAACATGTGCTGTGCCAAGGCCGAGACACCTGCTCTGAGTGTCCAGCAGGGAAAGAGAGGGTTGCCTGTCTCAGGAAAGTTCTCAAACAGGGATTGAACGGACTGTGAGTGAGTGAAAGACCAACTTGTATCTGGGACGAGATCTTTCCAAGTTCCGTTTGCCAGAACTCTGGTTTGGTTCCCAGCTGCTTTGAGCTTGTGACCCAGCTTCCTGGTAATGTGCGGGGGTGGGGGGCTGGGGGGGTGGGATGGCTTAAGTAGTTGGGTCCCTGCCACCCACATGGGAGACCAGGATGGAGTTTCTGGCTTCTGGCTTCAGCCTGGCCCAGTTCTTGCTGTTGTAGGCATTTGGGGAGTGAACCAGTGGAAGATCTCTCTCCTTGCCTCTCAAATCAATCAATCAATCTTAACAAGTTAGAAACAGGCCGGCATTGTGGTGTAGCAGGTAAAGCTACCACTGTGATTCCAGCATCCCATATGAGTGCCAGTTCAAGTCTTGGCTGCTCCACTTCCAATCCAGCTCCATGCTCGTGGCCTGGGAAAAGCGGCAGAGGATGGCTCAAGTACCTGGGCTTCTGTCACCACTGCGGGAGACCTGGATGAAGCTCCTGGATCCTGGCTTCGGCCTGGCCCAGCCCTAGCTGTCGTGGCCATCTGGGGAATGAACCAGTGGATGGAAGATCTCTGTCCCTTTTTCTTTGTAACTTTTTTTTTTAAAGGTTTGTTTATGTCCTTCGAAAGGCAGAGTTACAGAGAGGCAGAGAGAGAGAGGTCTTCCATCTGCAGGTTCACTCCCCAAATGGCCACAATGGTGGGAGCTGTGCTGATCTGAAGCCAGGAGCCAGGAGCTTCTTCCGGGTCTCCCATGTGGGTGCAGGGGCCCAAGGACTTGGGCCGTCTTCTGCTGCTTTCCCAGGCTATAGCAGAGAGCTGGATCAGAAGTGGAGCAGCCAGGACTTGAGGCAGTGTCCACGTGGGATGCCGGCACTGCAGGCAGCAGCCTTACCCACTACACCACAGCACTGGCCCCTGTAACTGACTTTCAAATAAATATCTTAAAAAAAAGTCAGAAACATGTGAAATAGTGAACATTGATAAGGAGTCTGTCAAAGCTTCATACACCAGCACAATGAAATATATCTGGTAAGCAGGAGTCAGTGGAATCAGTGAAAGCCAGTTGTGGATGCAGAGTGGATGTCAGGGGCCAGTGCTGTGGCGCAGCAGGCTAAACCCCAGCCTGCAGTGCTGACATCCAGTGGGTGCTGCTTCCGAGTCCTGGCTAAGCTACTTCCGATCCAGCTCCCTGCTAATGTGCCTGGGAAAGCAGTGGAAGATGGCCCACGTCCTTGGGCCCCTGCACCGACGTGGGAGACCCGGAGGAAACTCCTGGCTGCTGGCTTCAGTCGAGCCAGGCCCTGGTCGTTCTGGCCATCTGGGGAGTGAGCCAGCAGATGGAAGACCTCCCTCTCTCTCCATTTCTACCTCTTTCTGTAACTTTGGCTTTCAAAATAAATAAAAAGTAATAAATCTTTTTGTTAAAGATTTATTTGAAAGGCAGAGTTACAGAGAGGCAGAGGCAGAGAGAGAGAGAGAGGTCTTCCATCCGATGGTTCACTCCCCAGATGGCTGCAACAGCCGGAGCTGCGCCAATCCAAAATCAGAAGCCAGGAGCTTCCTTTGGGTCTCCCGCGCGGGTGCAGGGGCCCAAGGACTTGGGCCATCTTCTACTGCTTTCCCAGGCCAACAGCAGAGAACTGGATTGGAAGTGGAGCAGCTGGGACTCACATCGGTACCCATATGGGATGCTGGCACTGCAACTTGCGGCTTAACTCACTATGCCACAGCACTGGCCCCCCAAAATAAATCTTTAAAAAATGTAAGGATGTAATAGAAAAATTGGCCAATGTGACTCAACAATAAAGGAACATCCTGGGGTATTTGGTGCAGTAGCTGGACACTCTGAATGCCTGGGTTCACCTGTGTTCAAGGCCCCACTCAGCTCTGAAGGCAGCTTCCTGCCCATGTGCACCCTGGGAGGCAGCAGTGATGGCTCATGTCCTTGGGTCCCTGCCACCCATGTGGGAGACTCAGCCTGAGTTCTGGGTTCCCAGCTTCAGCCTGGTCTAGTCCCAGCTGTTGTGGGCATTGAGTTCTGGGTTCCCAGCTTCAGCCTGGTCTAGTCCCAGCTGTTGTGGGCATTGAGTTCTGGGTTCCCAGCTTCAGCCTGGTCTAGTCCCAGCTGTTGTGGGCATTGAGTTCTGGGTTCCCAGCTTCAGCCTGGTCTAGTCCCAGCTGTTGTGGGCATTCTGGGAGTAAAGCAGCAGATGAAGATCTCTATCTTTCAGATAAATAAATAAAATTAAAAAGTGTTAAAGTGAACACACCAGTTTAAAAATGGGCATAAGACCTGAAGATACCTCACCAAAGAAGAAATTCAGATGAGAATGTGCCCAGTAGGACATCATCAGGAGACGCTGCTGAGGACGTGGAGCCACAGTGGTGGGAATGCAAAATGGCACAGATATTTTGAAAGGCAGTTCTGCAGTTATTGTCTTAAATATTAGGTTTTTACAAAACTCAACGTGTTCTTAGCCCACAATCCAGCCGTGGGGCTCCTCGTTCTAACCAAGATGAGTTGAAAGCGGGGTCCACACCAAGTCTTGTCCATGTGTCCCACCCTCACTGCCAAGGCCAAAACAATGCTTCCCATGAATGAGCAGTGGTCCTATTCACAGTGGCCCAAACTGGAAGCAACTGAGCTGGCCCTCAGCAGGTGTGTGTGTGGGTAACTGTGGTGCACTGGGACGGTGGAGCAATTTCCAACGGAAAAGAAGTGAGCTATGAAGCCACCAAAAGGCGCAGGAGAAGCCAGTACTATGGGATATTCCAGAGGAGAGGCGACAGGAGCAGCACAGGGGCCGTCCCGGGCAGTGGGACTTGCTTCCGATGTTGTAATGGGGGGCAGATTGAACCCACAGCATGTTCAATGCATTGGCCCTGATGTGAACTCCAGACCTGGCTAGAAATAATGTGTCAGCACTGTTTTAACTGTAACACAGGCTCCCATGCAGGGAAACCCTGAGCTCCAATTTTCAGTACAACTTCAAACTTGACAAAGTAGTCTACTAATTTGAGAGCAAGCATTTTAGGGGTTAAGGCGCTCATTAAGGTTTTTTTTTAGATTTTTTATTTATTTATCTGACAAGAGTGCAGACAGTGAGAGACAGAAAGGTCTTCCATTTGATGGTTCACCCCCCAAATGGCCACAACGGCCAGAGCTACGCCGATCTGAAGCCAGGAACCAGGTGCCTCTTCTTGGTCTCCCATGCGGGTGCAGGGCCCAAGCACTTGGGGGGCCATCCTCCACTGCCTTCCCCGGCCACAGCAGAAAGCTGGACTGGAAGAGGAGCCACCGGGACTAGAACCCGGCGCCGTGGCTCACTTGGTTAATCCTCCGCCTGCACCTCAGGCTGGAGTGCCTGGGCTGGACTCCCCCCTGTGGCTCTTGAATCCAGCTTCCTACTAATGCAGACCTCAGGAGGCAGTGCCTCCCACACGGCAGATCTGGGTTTGGACTCAGCTGCTCCACCCCGGCCCTGTCAGTCCGAGGCATTTGAGGGAGAGAACCAGCAGATGGGGGAGCTCTCTGCCTCTCAGATATACGGGAAACAAACAAAACCCAGCCAGCTAGAGTGGGTGGCCTGCAATTTTCTCATTAACAGGGCCAGGAAGGACGCCCCCAGACTGCTAACATTCGGTCAGCTCAAGGGTGAACAAGACAGCCATGGTGTTCCACTCCAGGGAGTTAAACAAGCCCCAGCAGGAACTTTTCTGAGTGTAAGCTTGCAATACGAAATGTTTCCATTTTTCGGTACTGGATGAGGGTTTGAGAAGTCCATGCAGAGGGCAGGCGTCCCCAGAGTGCCGGCGCTGCAGTCCCAGCTGTCCTTCAAACTCCACCTCCGCGCACCCTGGAAGGCAGCGGTGGTCCCGGGGGCGGGCGGGCCAACTGGAAGATGGAGCGTCTCTCTCGACGTTTTACTACGGAAAGTACCGCTCCGCACGTCTGGCGGTGCCACTCTGTACACATCCCGGAATGTCGAGGTCGGGTGCGGGGAGGGGTTCTGGGGCCACGCTCTCTCCACCTAGCTCAGCTGCAGACCGGAGCGGGCTTAGAAGGGGCACGCCTCCTCCAGGAAGCCCCCCGGGCACCCATGGGGCTGGTGCAGTCGCGTGATCCGCAGGAGAGCTCTCGGGCCTCGCCGCCTTCTCCCTGAAACCCCCCACCTAAACGACCTAACGGCCCCTTCCCCGTTCGTTCGAGGGCGTCCCGCTCCTCCGTGTCCGCACGGCCGGGCGCGCTCGGCGGCGGCGGAGTCCGGGCACGGGCCACGGCCGCAGCAGCTAAGGGACGAGGCCTGAGGGGAGAGAGCCACGTACAGGCCGGACACGCACACGGGGCGCCGCGGCACGAAGGCCCCTGGGTCCCGGTTCCTCGGGGCTGGGTGCCGCTCCTGTCCCGCCGCGACCGCAGCAGCCGCACCAGCCACACGACACAGCGGCGTCTGTGACCCGCGCCGCTAGTTCCGCAACGGCCGGAAGCCGGGGGGCGTGTCAAGACAGCGCCCCGCCTCCGGCGCGGCCAATCAACGCGCGCGGCTCATGAATAGTGAGCGCGCCGACGCCGCAGCCCCGCCCCGCGCCGCATGCCCCGCCCTGCGCGCCGCCCGCCCGCGCAGACCCCGAGCGCGGCCGCGGACGAAGATGGCGACCGCCATGTACTTGGAGCACTACCTGGACAGTAAGCGCCACCCGCCGCCGTCGCGCCCGCCGCCCGCGCGGGGCCTCCGCTGCCGCAGCTCCCCGCACGCCGGGCCCCGCGCGCGGACCTCGGGGGCTCAAGAGGGCGGCGGGGGCGGCCTTAGGCGCCGGCGACGGGGGGCGCGCGGCTGAGGCGGGGCCGGACCGCGAGGGAGGGGCGGGCGCGGGGGGCGCGGCGCGGGGTCCCGCCGCCGTGGCCGCGCCAATTCCAGGTGCGTCACGGCGGGGCGGGGCCTGCGGCACTGGCCCCGCCTTCAAAGCCCCGGCCCCGCCCACAGTGGCCCCCGCCCCGCCCTTGCCCACGTCCCGCCCCGCGGCCGTGGCCACGGTCCCGTCCTCCCTGCTGGACCTCGCCCCGCCGCGCAGGTCGTGTCCGCCGCCTGTGGCTGGCCTAGGGCCGGCGCGCGCCCGGCGTTAGCTTGCGCTTCCGTGGCCGCGGTGCGGGCTGTGTGCTGCGTGTTGAGGGACGACCCTGGGTCCTCCCGAGCCCTGGGGATGGTTCTAATGAGATGAGGCCCCGGCCTTGCTCAGAGTCATCCTGCTCCTTGGGGGTCCACGTGTGGCCCCTTGGGGGGGTCTGCCTGGACTGGGCTGTGCAGGAGAGGCCGCGTGGAGCACCCAGGCCGGCTGCTCAGGATCCCCGGAAGTGAGGGAGGGTTCAGCTGGAGGCTACCGGGCCTCGCCAAGGGGCACCGGGTCGTGTTCGTTTACCCTTGTCTGCTGGCCGTGCCTGGGTGCTGGCTCCCCGGTTGGGGAAGGGCTGGCCCGAGCGTGGAGGCTCGTTTGTGAGATTAGGTTTATTTATTTATGTATCTTCCTATGTATTTATTTATTTAGATTTGCTTATTTACTTGAGAGTCAAAGTTACACAGAGAGAGGTCTTCCATCCACTGGTTCACTCCCCAGATAGCCACAATGGCCAGAGCTGAGCTGATCGAAAGCCAGGAGCCAGGAGCTTCTGTGTCTCACGCGGTGCAGGGGCCCAAGCACTTGGGCCATCTTCCACTGCTTTCCCAGGCCACAGCAGGGAGCTGGATCGGAAGTGGAGCAGCCAGGACTCCAACTGGCACCCATATGGGATGCCGGGGCCACAGGTGGATGCTGGTCTACTGCACCAGTCCTGAGATTAGATTTAGTTTTAAGCGGGTGGTCCTGGCAGCTCTGGGGCCCTGCAGGAGCTGTGGCCTGGACCCGAGGTGACCTTACAGAGGATGGGGGAGCAGGGCCACTTGGGTAAAATTCAGTTGAGTTGCTCATGCCTGGCCATGTCTCTGAGGCTTAGTAGCCCCTGTGGCCAGTGAGAGCGGTGTTGAGGCACGCAGACTGCTTGTCCATTGTCCATCCATCCTGCACTGACCCGTATGCTGGATTTGGGAGCAGGGACCGGGTTCTCCAGGGCTGGTGCAGAGTGGGGAGGAGGGTGGGGTTTGGAGAGGAGACCCAGGGACCTGTGCCCTGCGCTGGGCCCCTTCTGAGGTCCTCCCCAGCTTCCCTGTCCAGCTGCTTGGCGCCCGTCCCTGGTTAAGGCTCATTTGATGGGGCAGAGCGGGCTGGAGCCTTGGGGCCTGCGTTGCTCCAGGTGCTCTACTCCCTGTGTGTGTTCCAGGCATCGAGAACCTCCCCTGTGAGCTGCAGAGGAACTTCCAGCTGATGCGGGAGCTGGACCAGAGGACAGAAGGTGAGTGCGGGCTCTTGGTGGTCAGGGAGAGGGGGTGTACCAAGGTAAAAAAGGGAAGACCTTTCTCTCTGTCTCTCTCTCTCTCACTGTCCCCTCTGCCTGTCCAATAAATAAATAAATAAATAAAGGCCAGCGACAGTGTACCCTCCGGGGCAGCTGCTGGTAAACGGAGCCATGCCTTGCTCTGCCTCTGGGACCCTTGTGGAGTGACTCTACTTGCCGACTGCTGTGTGTGCCACCCCGCCCCCCCAGGAGTGCCTCAGTGTGCTCCTGCCCCCCGCTTGTCTGCTGCTGCCACCTGTGCCTTCCCGGGGACGGCCTATCCTGCTTGCTTGCAGGGCTGCTGCCCTGCCAGGGCTCTTCACTCACCCCTGCACCGTAGGCCCTGGCCTCTGGATCTTGAATGCCCCCTTTTCTCACCTGCTGCCTTGTTTGGGTGCCTCTGGCGGCTTTCTGAGGAAAGGCCCCTGGGAAGGTAAGCTTCCTGCAGTGTTGTGTGTCTGAAACATGGTCTTTCTAGCCTCACGTTTCTTAAAAAAGTATTTGAGAGTTAGTAAGATCTTCCATCTGCTGGTTCACTCCTCAAATGCCCACAACAGCCAGGGCTGGGCCAGGCTAAAGACAGGAGTTAGGACCTCCATCCAGGTCTCCTGCATGGGTGGTGGGGACCCAAGAACTTGAGTCATCACCTGCTGCCTCCCGGGAAGCACATGAGTTGGAATCAGCAGTGCCGCTAGAACTCAGAACCAGGTGGGGGCTGGCGCTGTGGCAGAGTGGGCTAAACCTCCGCCTGAGGTGCTAGAATCCCATGTGAGCACCAGTTCAAGTCTCTGCTGCTCTTCTTCCGATCCAGCTCTCTGCTGTGGCCCAATAGCCTGGGAAAGCAGTAGAAGGTGGCCCAAGTCCTTTGGCCCCTGCACTTGCGTGTGAGACCCAGAAGAAGCTCTTGGCTCCTGGCTTCAGGTCGGCTCAGCTCCGGTCGTTGCGGCCATCTGGAGGGTGAACCAGTGGTGGAAGACCTCTCTTGCTGTCTCTGCCTCTCTCTGTAACTCTACTTCTCACATAAATAAATAAATATTAAAAAAAATAAAATCCAGGTGAGTGACCCAAGTGGTAATTTTTATTTTTGTTTTATTTATTTTTTTATTTTTTGACAGGCAGAGTGGACAGTGAGAGAGAGAGACAGAGAGAAAGGTCTTCCTTTGCCGTTGGTTCACCCTCCAATGGCCGCAGCGGCCGGCGCGCTGCGGCCGGCGCACCGCGCTGATCCGATGGCAGGAGCCAGGTGCTTTTCCTGGTCTCCCATGGGGTGCAGGGCCCAAGTACTTGGGCCATCCTCCACTGCACTCCCTGGCCACAGCAGAGAGCTGGCCTGGAAGAGGGACAACCAGGACAGAATCCGGCGCCCCGACCGGGACTAGAACCCGGTGTGCCGGCGCCACAAGGTAGAGGATTAGCCTAGTGAGCCGCGGTGCCGGCCTAATTTTTTTAAAAGATTTTTTATTTATTTGAGAGGTGGAGTTACAGACAGTGAGAGGGAGAGACAGAGAGAAAGGTCTTCTGTCTGCTGGCTCACTCCCCAAATGGCTGCAACGGCCGGAGCTGCGCCGATCCAAAGCTGGGAGCCAGGCACTTCTTCCAGGTCTCACATGCGAGTGCAGGGGCCCAAGGACTTGGCCATCTTCTCCTGCTTTCCCAGGCCACAGCAGAGAGCTGGATGTGAAGAGGAGCAGCCGGGACTAGAACTGGCACCCATATGGGTTGCCAGCGCCACAGGCAGAGGATTAACCTACTGCGCCACAGCGCCGGTAATTTATCTACCGTGCCAGATGGCCTGCTCCTCTTACCTTGTATTTGATTGATAGCTTGATAATTCTAGAGGATCATTTCTTTTTTTTTTTTTTTTAAGGTTTATTTATTTATTTGAAAGAGAGAAGCAGAGGCAGAGAGAGAGAGAGTCTTCCATCTGCTGGTTCACTTCTCAAGTGGCTGCAACGGCCAGAGCTATGCTGATCTAAAGCCAGGAGCCAGGAGCTTCTTCTGGGTCTCACATGCTAGTGCAGGGGCCCAAGGACTTGGGCCATCCTCTACTGCTTTCCAGGCCATAGCGGAGCAGCCGTGACTAGAACTGGTGCCCATATGGGATTCTGGTGCTTCAGGCCAGGGTGTTTACCCGCTGCGCCACAGCACCAGCCCACTGTTTGTGTTCTTAATCCCTCATATTTATTGTATCTTCTTTTTTTTTTTTCCTCCCAGTTCAGAAGCTTTGGGGATGCTCTTTTTTTTTTTTTTTTTTTTTTTTTTTTTTTTTTTTAAGATTTATTTTATTTATTTGAAAGAATTGCAGAGAGAGGCAGAGACAGAGAGGAGAGAGGGGTCTTCCATCTGCTAGTTCACTCCTCAGATGGCTGCAATGGCCAGAGCTCTGCTGATCTGAAGCCAGGAGCCAAGAGCCTCCTCTGGGTCTCCCACGCGGGTGTAGGGACCCAAGGACTTGGGTCATCTTCTACATGCTTTCTCAGGCCATAGCAGAGAGCTAGATCAGAAGAGGAGCAGCCAGGACTCAAACCGGCACCCATATGGGATGCCGGCACTTCAGGCCAGGGCTTTAACCCGCTACGCCACAGCGCTGACCCCAAGGGGATGCTCTTTTTTAAAAGATTTATTTATTTATTTATTTGAAAGGCAGGGCTACAGAGAGGCAGAGAGAGAGAGGTTTTCCATTCACTGGTTCACTCCCCAGATGTCCACAATGGCCAGAGCTGTGCCAATTCGAAGCCAGAAGCCAGGAGCCTACCCGGAGTCTCCCATACGGGTGCAGGGGCCCAAGGACTTGTGCCATCTTCTACTTCCCTCCCAGGCCACAACAGAGAGCTGGTTTGGAAGTGTGGTAGCCAGGACTCGAACTGGCACCCAAATGGGATGCCAGCACTGCAGATGGCAACTTCACCCACAACACCATAGCCCAGGGGATGCTCTTTATCTTCGAGGTTTTAGGTTCATGAGCTGTGCCTTGATATTGCATCAGGCCTGTGTTTTGCAAGATTGACATAGCTGTGTTTGCGTTTGGGTGCAGTGTCCTACCAGGTAAGAGGGAAGTCTTTTAGGAAGTGTGAGGTGCTTCAGAAAGTACAGAAAAATGGAATTAAAAAACAAGTTTATTTTGTTGCAAACAAAATATACTGTGTAGCTGTGGTCTGTGCTCTTGCTGCATAGCGTATTCTGTTGTGAGACCGCATCCTTTCTTTTTTTAAAGATTTATTTATTTGAAAGGCAGAGTTAGAGAGAGAGAGAGGGACGGGGGGTTTCCATTCACTGATTCACTCCCCAGATGACTGCAATGGCCAGAGCTGCTCTGGTCCGAAGCCAGGAGATTCTTCTAGGTCTCCCACATGGGTGCATGGGCCCAAGGACCTGGGCCATCTTGAGAGCTGGATTGGAAGTGGAGCAGCCGGGACTTGAACTGGCACCCAAATGGGATGCGGCACTGCAGGCATCCTTCACTGTCACTTGTTAATGGATGTTTTCTCCTTTGAATCTGGAGCTCAAGCACTTTTTTAAAAAATTTATTTATTTGTTTATTTTTATTTTTTATTTGACAGAGTTAGACAGTGAGAGAGGGAGACAGAGAGAAAGGTCTTCCTTCCGTTGGTTCATCCCCTAAATGACCGCTCCAGCCGGAGCTATGCCGATCTGGAACCAGGTGCCCCCTCCTGGTCTTCCATGCGGGTGCAGGGCCCAAGCACTTGGTCCGTCCTCCACTGATCTCCCAGGCCACAACAGAGAGCTAGACTGGAAGAGGAGCAACGGGAACTAGAACCTGGCACCCATATGGGTTGCCGGCGCTGCAGGCAGAGGATTAACCAAGTCAACCACGGCGCCGGCCCCAAGCCCAAGCACTTGTATTTCTTGAGGGTGTTATCTGCATGCTGGGTCATAGGTAGGGTGACCCCATAGTTTATTATCCAGACAGAGTACTTAGGGTCAGAGAGGCCACCATAAGACACTGGTCTGTCCTGGGCACGTCCTGCACTCCCACACAGTACCAGGTGTTTTGTGCATGGTGGTTGTACTCCTGCCAGCAGCTGGGGTCTGGTCAGTCTTCCTCTCGGCTACACTTGGTCCTGATAGCCTTTTTTGCTGGCCTGCGCCTGTGGTGGCATCATGGGCGGGGCCAGCTTCCCCATGTGCCTGTGGTGGCTCTGTGGGCGGGGCCAACCTTTGGCCGTTTCTCCCTCAGATAAGAAGGCAGAGATTGACATCCTGGCTGCAGAGTACATCTCCACAGTGAAGACGCTGTCTGCCGACCAGCGTGTCGCGCACCTGCAGAAGATCCAGAGTGCCTACAGCAAGTGCAAGGAGTACAGCGACGACAAGGTGCAGCTGGCCATGCAGACCTATGAGATGGTGAGCAGAAGGCCTGCGGCGCAGCCCACCTGGGGGTCTGGCTTGGCTGCATTGCACCGTAGGGGAGGACACATGGGGCGTCCTTCCCTGGGACCTCCCTGTTGTCCTGGCTGCTGGTCTCATTTGTTCATTTGATTTTGAGAACATTTCTTTTATATCCATTTTATTTTAAAGATTTATTTATTTATTTGAAAGGCAGAATTACAGAGAGGCAGAGAGAGAGAGAGAGAGAGAGAGAGAGAGAGGTCTTTCAACCGCTGGTTCACTCCCCAGATGGCCGCAATGGCCGCAGCTGGGCCAGTCCAATGCCAGGAGCCAGGAGCTTCTTCTGGGTCTCCCATGGGTGCAGGGGCCCAAGGACTTGAGCCATCTTCTACTGCTTTCCCAGGTCATAGCAGAGAGCTGGATGAGAATTGGAGCAGCTGGGACTCAAACCGGTACCCATATGGGATGCTGGCACCTCAGGTGGTGGCTTCACCCACTGCGCCACACGCTGGCCCCTCTTCCATGTTTCAGCTCTTGTTCTGTCAGCTCTAGGTCGAGTCTGCGCTAGTCCTGTGTCCCCTCCGGGCTCATTTGGTGGCTGCACTGTTGCCCAGAAGATTGCAGGATGCTCGAGAAGTAGAGCTTACTCCCTCTGTGTGGGGCTTTGATGCCTGAACTGCTGAGTCTGCCGAGTGAGCAGAATGGTTTCTGGAAAATTAGGTTGGATCAGTTGCCTCTGAGACAGTCCCCTTTCTCCCTGCTGTCTGAGCAGGCGGGGGGCTGTGCCCATGTGCCGTGGTCCAGTGCCCTGGTCAGTCCCACTTTGTCCCTGCTGTGTAAGCAGGTGGGGCTGCGCCCGTGTGCTGTGGTCCAGTGCCCTGGTCAGTCTCACTTTCTCCCTGTTGTGTAAGCAGGCGGGGCTGTGCCCGTGTGCTGTGGTCCAGTGCCCTGGTCAGTCTCACTTTCTCCCTGTTGAGTGAGCAGAGCAGGCGGGGCTGTGCCCGTGTGCTGTGGTCCAGTGTTCGAGTCAGTCCCACTTTGTCCCTGCTGTCTGAGCAGGTGGGGCTGTGCCCATGTGCCGTGGTCCAGTGCCCCGGTCAGTCCTGCTTTGTCCCTGCTGTGTGAGCAGGCGGGGGGCTGTGCCCATGTGCCGTGGTCCAGTGCCCCGGTCAGTCCTGCTTTGTCCCTGCTGTCTGAGCAGGCGGGGCTGTGCCCATGTGCCGTGGTCCAGTGCCCTGGTCAGTCTCACTTTGTCCCTGCTGTGTGAGCAGGCGGGGCTATGCCCACATGCTGTGGTCCAGTGCCCTGGTCAGTCTCACTTTCTCCCTGTTGAGTGAGCAGAGCAGGCGGGGCTGTGCCCGTGTGCTGTGGTCCAGTGCCCTGGACAGTCTCACTTTCTCCCTGTTGAGTGAGCAGAGAAGGCGGGGCTGTGCCCGTGTGCTGTGGTCCGATGTTCGAGTCAGTCCCATTTTGTCCCTGCTGTCTGAGCAGGTGGGGCTGTGCCCGTGTGCTGTGGTCCGGTACCCGAGTCAGTCCCACTTTGTCCCTGCTGTGTGAGCAGGCAGGGCTGTGCCCGTGTGCTGTGGTCCAGTGCCCTGGTCAGTCTCACTTTGTCCTTGCTGTGTGAGCAGGCGGGGCTGTGCCCGTCTGCTGTGGTCCAGTGCCCTGGTCAGTCTCACTTTGTCCTTGCTGTGTGAGCAGGCGGGGCTGTGCCCGTGTGCTGTGGTCCGGTACCCGAGTCAGTCCCACTTTGTCCCTGCTGTGTGAGCAGGCGGGGCTGTGCCCGTGTGCTGTGGTCTGGTACCCGAGTCAGTCCCACTTTGTCCCTGCTGTGTGAGCAGGCGGGGCTGTGCCCGTGGGCTGTGGTCCGGTACCCGAGTCAAGCCTTCTAAGTGGTCAGCAGGAGCTTCCCCTCCAGAAGCAATACAGTACTCATCATGTCTCTCTGGGCTTCTGTACCTGAAGTGTGAAGTCTTTGTTTTCTTTTCTCGTTTTGGTTTTCTGTTCTTCGGAATTTTAGATCAGGGCTCAGCATCTGCTGCGCCACCCCTTCCCCCATTGCCTTTCACGCCTGCTTCTCATCATTGCCTGCACTCATGCTTTTTCCCCAGTTGGGATTTATTCTGTTGAGGTGTGCAGCTGTGCAGGAAAAAGACCCTTGTGTGAACTTGGAGACAGTGGGCCTTGTCCAGCAGAGCTGTTTTTAGTTGACAACTCAGAGGCCTGGAAGAGTCTCCCCCACCCCATGGGGCTCCTTGTGCGTTGGTGAGCACCATGGGTGTGCTGTGCATAAGGCTTGGAGCTCCTCTCGCAGGTGGACAAGCACATCCGACGGCTGGACGCGGACCTGGCACGCTTTGAAGCAGACCTGAAGGACAAGATGGAGGGCAGCGACTTCGAGAGCTCTGCGGGACGGGGGTTAAAAAGCAAGTCTGTTCGTTTTTCTTCATTTTTCATTTTACTATGGTCACTATGGACCCTTGAAGGATTCTGTGTAATGAGTGCTTTAGGATCGTTACAGCAAATCTCACTTTAGTGGATTCTGTGAAAGTAATTGGGGTCCTTGTTGTTTTCAGAAGGTCGGGGTCAGAAAGAAAAGAGAGGCTCCCGGGGCCGTGGCAGGAGGACCTCGGAAGAAGACACTCCCAAGAAGAAGAAGCACAAAGGAGGGTAAGAGGCGTCTCCCTTTGCAGGAGAGGCGTAGGAAGGGTGGCGGGGGCCTCGCGGGGGCCTCGCAGGGCAGTTGCCCCGATTTTGCAGAGCGAGCTTGGTGGCACTCGGAGTCTGCAAAGTCTATCGGTGCTGTTTTTCCAGCAGCTCAATCATAGCATATTTTATCAATAAAGTATTTTTAGCAGTATTTTTTGATTCAGTATGCACGGTTGTTAGACATGATGCTGTCTTATACTTCGAGACGGCAGTGTAGTGCCAACAGCCCTGTAGACTGGGACACGAACTGTGTGACTCGCTTTACGGCGACATTCACTTTTTTGCAGTGGTCGGGACCGAACCTGCAGCACCTCCGAGGGTTGCCGGTACCTGGTGACTCCCAGTAGCACAGAGAGCCTGCCCCAGGTCTGAGAGCCGCTGTGTGGTGGAGCTGGGTTTGCACACTGCACTCTTAGCCCAGGACCTGCTCTTAGCCACTGTGTGTGCTGCCACCCAGGTGATGAGCACATATTAAGTGTTTGTTGACAGAGAGCAATCTAAGTCGCCTTCTAACTAGCTAGATTTTTATTTATCTGTTGGTTATTTTATATATAAATATATATTTTGCATATGTTCATTGTTAAATTGTTTGTGTTTATTAAATATATGTGGCATTTTTTTTTTTTTTTTGACAGGCAGAGTGGACAGTGAGAGAGAGAGACAGAGAGAAAGGTCTTCCTTTTGCCGTTGGTTCACCCTCCAATGGCCGCCGCGGCCGCCGCGGCCGGCGCGCTGCGGCCGGCGCACCGCACTGATCCGATGGCAGGAGCCAGGAGCCAGGAGCCAGGTGCTTCTCCTGGTCTCCCATGGGGTGCAGGGCCCAAGCACCTGGGCCATCCTCCACTGCACTCGCTGGCCACAGCAGAGAGCTGGCCTGGAAGAGGGGCAACCGGGACAGAATCCGGCGCCCCAACCGGGACTAGAACCCGGTGTGTCGGCGCCGCAAGGCGGAGGATTAGCCTAGTGAGCCGTGGCGCCGGCCTATTAAATATATGTGGCATTTAACTTGAACTTCTTCAAGGTATTTTTTTTGAGCATTCTCCCGCTGACATCCTCCCCTACAGGTCTTGTGGCACTGCTTCCTGGAGGCGGTGCTTAGACTGAGGGGAATGATCACCTGCCTGTGGCTTCTGTGGGCGTGATTCTCTCGAGTTCTTGACAAAGGGGTAGTCGAGGTTTTTGAAACCAGTGTTTAGACTTCCAAGGAGTGGGCCTTGCAGCACAGTGGATTAAACTCCTATTTGGGATGTCTGCATCCCATATCACAGGGCCAGTTTGACTCCTGACTGCTCTGCTTCCGACCCAGCTTCCTGCTAATGTGCCTGGGAAGGCTGTGGAAGATGGTCCAAGTGCTTGTGTCCCTGCCACTCACGTGGGAGACCCGGATTGGAGCTCTGGGCTCCTGGCTTTAGCCTGGCCCAGCCCTGACTGTTGTAGGCGTTTGGGGAATGAACCAGCAAATGGAACATTGTCTCTCCTGTCACTCTGCCTTTCAAATCAGTGAGTAAGTCTTAAAAAAAAAAAAAAAAAATTTTAAAACATAACACTTTTGGATTGTAAAGTAATACACAGAGAAAACCTCACAAAGCAAAGCTGTTTACAAAGAATTACTGTACAGTGGTCAGCCTCACGACTGTCCCCTCCAGTGACTGACTTTGCTGCCAGAGACCCTTCTGTGTGTCAGAACCGTAGCTGGGACTGGCACTTTGCCTGGCTGGCTGGATGCTGGTGGAGATGTCAGCGTCCCATTTTGGAATGTGTGTATTCAGATCTTGGCTCTGACTCCTGATTCCAGCTTCCTACTGATGCTTCCCCTGGAGGGTCCCTGCCACCCTCGGGGGAGACCCGCATCGAGTTCCCCGCACCCAGCGTTGGCCCCAGCCTCGTCCTGGCTGTTCCAGGTGTTAGGGGAGTGAACCAGAAGAAAGGAGCTCTACCCCATTCCCTGTCTCTCTTGCCTCCCCCCTCAGAAAAAACAAAACACAGTCTTTGCCCCCAAATAAACATGATCCAGACTTCCGTAGTGTGTATTTTCCTCTTGTTTCTTTACAGTTTATTTCCTACGTGATCTCTTACGGTTTTTTTTTTTTAATGTTTTAAGTTAACTTTGTTAGTTTACACTAAGAAGTTCTCATCTGTAAGTATACAGTTTGTTAAGTTATGGAAGTGTTTAAAAGGTTTTCTGTTTCTTCCTGAGTCAGCAGTAGGTAACCTGTGCCTCTCAGGGAGTTTATGTTTCATGCAAAGTTTGTCTTTGTAATATTGTTATTGTCGCTCTGATGTGTGGGGTCTGTAATGAGAGCCCTAGTCTTGCTATTAGTAATTTTTGACTTGTCAAATTTTGTATTGATCTTTTCCAAGAACTAGCCTTTAGTTTCATTGACCGTTGTTTTCTATTTGAATTTACTTCTGCTTTATTATTGTGTCTTTCCGTCTCCATGACTTGGATTCACTTTTCTTTTTCTTTAGTTTTAAGATGGAAGCAACTTGGATTATTGGATTTTTATACCTTTCTTTTTCTAAGTACTGTTTGAGTTGTATTCACAAATTTTGATACAATTGTTTTCATTTTATTCTACCATTTAAAATTTTTTTCACGAATTTTCTTGATCTAAAACTTAATAGAAGTGTGTGTCTCAATTCACAAATAATTTGGGATTTTCAAGATAAAATTTCTTTTAATTTGTAGTTTAATTCTGTTGTGGCCAGAGAAAATTTTATAATTGAAATTCTGTAAACTCGGTTGAGATTCACACTATGGCCCAATGTATCCTTTGTCCTTCTGAATGTTCTGTGTGCACTTACAGTGATATGTCTGTTGGAGGTGTGTTTCTGCATGTCAGAGAGACAAGTAGCTCACTGTATGTTGGAGGTGTGTTCCCATGTGTCTGTGAGGTAGTAGGTAGCTGACCATGTTTGTTGGAGGTGTGTTTTTGCATGTCGGTGAGGTGAGCGGTTGACTCTGTTGGTGGTATGTTCCCGTGTGTCGGTGAGGTGAGCGGTTGGCTGTGTGTGTTGTCCTGTGTGTCAGTGAGGTGAGTGGCTGACTGTGTGGAGGGTGTGTTCCCACATGTCAGGTAGGTGGTTGTGTGTGTTGTAGGTGTGTTTTTGCATGTCAGTGAGGTGAGCAGTTGACTTTGTGTGTGAACTGTGAGCAGTTCCCATGTGTCAGTGAGGTGGGTGGCTGACTGTGGAGGGTGTGTTCCCACATGTCATTGAGTGGTTATGTGTGTTGGAGGTATGTCCCCATGTGTCAGTGAGGTGAGCAGTTGACTCTGTGTGTGTGTGTGTGTGTTCCCATGTGTCAGGTGGGTGGCTGACTGTGTGTAGAGGGAGTATTCCCACATGTCAGGTGGGTGGTAGTGTGTGTTGTAGGTGTGTTGCCACAAGACGTGAGGTGAGCGGTTGGGTGTTGGAGGTGTGTTCCCATGTATCAGTGAGGTGGCAGCTGACTGTGTGTGGAGGGTGTGTTCCCACATGTCAGGTGTGTAGTTGTGTGTATTGGAGGTGTGTTGCCTCATGACAGTGAGGTGAGTAGTATTTGCCTGTGTATCAGTGACATGAATTGCTGGATGTGTTTTCAAGTCTTCTGTGTCCTTGTGCTGTGGTTGTTATTCACTCTGCCAATTACTGAGAGAGTAGCGTTAAGAGCGCCAATCCTAGTTATGGGTTTCTCTGCTCTCCCTTCATTTCTGTCTGGTTTTCAGTTTTTGCTTTCTGTGTATTTTGAAGCTCTGTTATTCGGTGCATACACATTCAGGGTTTTTTTAAATTTTAAATTACTTTATCATGATGAAGTGTCTCTCTTTATTCCTTATACTATGTTTAAGTGTCTGTGGTCTGATATTAGTATTAATGTGGGCTGTCCAGCTGTCTTGTGATGAATTTTTGCACTGTATGTCTTAATTTTTTTATCCTCTTTATTTTAATATGTTTGTGTTTTGTATGTACTTGGTTTCGTGTAGGCAGTAAATAGTTGAGTCCTGTTTTTTATCTAGTCTGACTGTCTCCACCCATTCATTGCAGTAATTGGACCTGTCACATTTAGGTTGAGAGAGTGAGACTGTGTATGCGTGTGCTCTGATGATCTGGCTCACTCCTCGTATGATCCTAATGACTGGAGCTCTGAGGCTGAAACTTGGAGCTGGGAACTCAGTGTAGTTCACCCATGTGGATGGTAGGAATCCAGTTATTTGGGCCATCACTGCTGCCTCCCAGGGTCTACACCAGGGGAAGCTGGAGATAGGAGCCAGAGCTGGGCATTGAACCTGGGTGCACTGATCTGGGATGCCAGCGTCTGAAACCCTTGTTAACACTTCTGGGGATGGATTCAGGTTTACTGTCTTGCTGTTATTTTTGTTTGTCCCATCTGTTCTTTTTTCTTTTCCTGACTTTTAGAATTACCAAAGTTTGTTTTTCAGAAGGCCATTTTTTCCTACTGTTGTCTTCATAGCTGTATTTCTTTGTTTTGTGTCTTAAGGGTTGTTCTAGTGTGTACATTGCTTCATTACCTTACTAGGATGAATTTCAAATGCTACCCAATTCCATCTTCGATATATTTAAAAAAATTTTTTTTTTATCTAGTTGAAAGGTAAAGTGAAGGGAGAGACACATATATAGAGAAAAAGAGCAAGCTATCTTCTGTGTGCTGGTTCACTTCCCAAATGCTCACAACAGCCAGGGTTGGGCCAGACTCAATCCAGAAGCCAGGAGCTCCATCCGGGTCTTTCACACAGATGGCAGAGGCCCAAGTACTTGAGCCATCACCTGCTGCTTCCTAGGTTCTCCATTAACAGGAAGGTGGGTCAGATGCAGAGTAGCCAGGACTCCAGCTGGCACTGCAGTATGGGATGTGAGTATTGCAAGTGGTGACTTAGACTGCTACACCACAGTCCCTGGCTCAGACCTCACAATGTGTTTTATTATTTTAGGTGTAGACCATTGATTGCTTAAATATATAT